TTGGAAATTTAAAACAAAATACCCATATGCTGTTATATATAGTTCAAAAATAGTAATCCAATTAGTTATGATTTTCTTTGAAAATAAAATTATTTGATAACTTTTCTATATTATTAATGCTAGTATCTAATCTTAATATAGAAGGCTAGATTTACCAACAGAAAAGTATTAATTACATTTTTACGTAGTAAATGCATGCATAAGAATATCATTATTATATACTTTGAAAAATGTACAAAAAGACTTAAATTCCCTCTGAAGAAATTATTATTTTAGCAGTTGAGCCTGAGCCCCTAAGAATACCAAAACTAAAAATAAAACTAACAATATTTTTAAAAAATATAGTTATGCAAATAACCGTTCTGGTTAACACTAAGCATCTAAAAAAGGAGGGATCTTTCTGAGAGCAATTATTAATTCCTCTTGACCCAAACTTCAAAAATAAATTTATAATTATAGAATATGAGATAATCTTCATTTTGAACATAGTAAATGGAAGGCAACTTTTACACAAAAAACATTTGGTTAAAAAGTTGCCTCAAACTTAGGAAAAGACTAACAAGCAGCCATGGTAACATGGAGCCACCAGAACTGGTTTGAATTGTGTTTAATCAATCAGTGACCATCGGCCTCACTCACCAATCAATGTAGACCACTTCCTTCTGAAAGAAAGCCAGTCAGAGACAAGCTTATTTGAATAAACATGCCTCAGAGTGCCAACCAATCAACACCCCTCTCACCAGAATAATCATGCTGCTTCAGAGGATGTCAACCCACTTATGCCTCTGAAAGTCCACTAGTCCTCAAATCCCACTTGTCCAGAAACCATATATAAGTGGAGCAAGCCACTCTGTCATAAAAGACCGTGTCTGACCAACACAGCTCTCTCAGTGTAATGAGCAACAAATTCCAAATTCGTCTTTTTATTTCAGATATTGAGAGTTCATTAATCTTTGGCAAGATTTTTTTAAAGTCTTAGAATAACTTACCACCACTGTATTTTCTATTTCATAATAAAATATAAATGAAGTAAGCTATTCCTTTGATCCATGTTACCATAATTAAAACTATTAAATTAATAATAAAAATGGTAAGTAACCACAATATTGGGCATCTCTCCCTAAATGGAAAAGTATTCATGGAGAAAATAGGGCTTATTGGAAAGAGCCAAAAAGAGTATTTAAAATGCACATAACTGACAGGTAGAATTGTCAGAATGATTCCACATCAATCTTGTTTCTTATTTCTTTGCGAGTTGCATAATGTTTAAAACAATATACATAGGTAAAACTCCACTCACTGTCAGTATTTGTGTAGTACTGTACGCTTGGCCCTTTTCTAGGCACTGAGGCTATGGCAGTGAATACACAAAAATCCTAGACATGAGAGTGATGTAAACACATAGTAATGAACTAGATCGGCAAAATATATACATGTTAGAGGAGAAAGACGAAGGCAGATAAATGAAATTTTAATGTGTTGTGTGGGGAGGTCAGTAACATGTTAGGCTGGCCAAGAAAGGTCTTGCTAAGAAAGAGGCTTTCAAGTAAAGAACTAAAAGAATGGAAAGCACATGTCATCTGGATATCTGAGGAAAACGCATTCCAGACTGAATCAGCAGCAAGTACACAAGTATGCCTGGAGCATTTGCAATAGTGAGAAATTCAGTCTAGTTCGAACAGAATGAAAGGGGTAGAAAATAGAAGTCAGAGACACAGATCTAAGATGAAGGGATTATTTAAGGCCTTGTAGGTATTATGAAGAACTTCGGCATGTACACTGAGTGAAATGGGAGGCATTTAGAAAATTCTGAGCAGAGGAATGGCATTATCTGACTTATCTTTTAATAGGTCCACTGTGTTAGGAATTGATGAAAAGAGTAAAAAGGGAATAAAAAGGAAGAAAGGAAGGAGGGGGGAAGGAAGGAGAGAGAGGAAAAATAAAAAGGAAGGAAGGAAACCAATTAGCCATCTATTACACTAATATAAACTGCAGATGATAGTGGCTTGGGTCTGGAAGAAGCTTCTGGATATATTTTGAAGGTGTCTTGGCAAGATTTGCTGACAGATTAGATGCGAGGTGTAAGAGAAGATGACACCAATTTTTTGGCAGAGCAACTGAAGAGGGGTCATTAGTTCAAACAGAAAGACTACGTGAAAGGCAGATGGAAAAAAATATCAGTAGTTCAAGTTTGGACATCTTAAGTCTGAAATACCTGAGTTATCCAAAAAGAGATCTCAAGTAGGCCTATATGAGGCTGGAATTAAGGAGAGATAAGATATTTGGGCTGGAAATACAAATTTGGGGATTAGCATATACAAGGTAGTAAAAATCATGGGAAAAAACAGATCAAGGACTGAATCCTAGAACTTCTGGATGTGTAAAATGTGGGGGATGTGGAGATACAAGGAAAACCAGATCAAGGTGAACGAATTAGACAGGCAACGGGGAAACAGGAAAGTGTGCTTCCCAACCTCAAAACTAAGTCCTGAAAGCCAAATGAAGAAAGTATTTTGAAGAGTTTCCCATTGGGTCAAATATTGCTGATAGGTTACATAAAATGAAGTCTAAGAAATTATACCTAGTTTTATTAAAGTGAAAAACCAGTGGTAACATTGAGAAAAACAATTATGGAGGAGAGAATGGACTGAAAGTTACTAGAGTGGGTTCAAGAGTGCATGGAAGGGAAATAAGAATCAGTGAGTATAGTTTTTAAGAACTTGGTAATGGCATGATTATAGATGATCTTTCTTGTTCAGCTGTGGTTTTTCAATTCTTTCACAGTGACTATGCAGTATTTTTGTAATACAGAAATATTTTTTTAATTGAAAAAATGCCAGACCACTTATTAAATAAAAAATTCACAAAATTATACAACTAAAAGACCCCATAACATTTCTTTAGATATATAGAACGGGGCAAAAGTAGGTTTACAGTGGTGAATACAATAAAAAGAGTTAATTCTTGTACTATGAGTTATTAGTCATTGTATTATTTTCCATACAAACTGTAAACCTACTTTGCCCCACCCTGTATAATGATATTCTATAACCTGATTATCACTTTTCTTATAGTTAAAAGAGGTCACAGAGGGATTTCTTGGTTGTTGAAAATCATTCAACTCTAGAATATCTTATACTAAAATATACAAAGTAATTAGTTTTATTAAAATTCTGTAATAAAGAAATAAAGGGGGTAGCATGCAGAAAATTTTCTTTATAAACTGAATTTTTGTAAATTGTATAATAGGAAGTCACTGTTGAAAAATTTGGTGTGGTGTATACTGAAATATATTCTCTTTTAAAAAAGGAAGGATAAAGGCATGTATGTAGGGAAACTTTAAAAAGATTTACTACGTTAGCAAAACCTTGGTTTACAGTGCAGGGGTCAGTAAATAATCGACTGGGGCAAATCAAGCTCCTTGCCTGTTTGTATATTAAGTTTTACTGGAACACAGCTACACTTGTTTATTTACCTACTGTCTATGAAAGATTTCAGACTACAGTAGAAGAGACCCAACAGTCCACAAGGTCTAAAATATTGACTATCTGGCTCTTTACAGAAAAGGTCTGTGCCCCTCTGATTTAACAGATTGATCTATTGGTGTGTTTTAATGTTTTACTCAATATACTGAAATTTTTAGACAAGACACGGAACAAATTATCATGTGAAACTCCTCCCTTTCAAATTAACTTGGGGGTCCAGGGGAAGAATGGGGGAAAAGGTACATGGAATAAGAAGCATAAATGGTAGATACAAAATAGACAGGGAGAGGTTACAAATAGTATAGGAAATGGAGAAGCCAATGAACTTATATGTATGACCCATACCCATGAACTAAGGTGGGGGGAATGCTGGTGGGAGGCGGGGTACAGGGCAGAAGGGAATAAAAGGGAGAAAAAAAATGGGACAACTCTAATAGCATAATCAATAAAATATACTTAAAAATAAAATAAAAACCCTCAAAACAAAAAGAACCCACTAACTTGGGGGTCCAATATTTGAGCACTCACGTATTAACAAAACAGAAAAATCTAATAACTAGCAATTTTGATGGTAACAAAGCAGAGTGCCAGTATAGCATATCACTCCCTTTTGAAACACAGCATATATTAAAAGTATTCCAACAAAATTTGCTACAGGTATGACATCTAAAAAAATGCTTTAAATGTACTTCAATTATGAAACAATCAGTATGCTGTAGACCTAACCTCATTTTTTCCAGTGGTTACATACCATACCATTTTATGGGTACCAGAATTTATTTCCTTATAAATAGGTATTTAGACCACCTCCAACTTTTTGATATACAAACCTATCAAAAATATCCTTCACATATATATGTATATACAGGGAGGGGAAAAATTAGGTTTATAGTTGTGAGTATACAAAAGAGTTTATTCTTGTGTTATTATTTATTAGTTATTGTATTATTTTCCATACAAACTGCAAACTTACTTTTGCCCTGCCCTGTATAAAACCTACTTATATAAATATCCTTGAGGCATATATATTATATATCCTTTACATTATATATTTCATATATTATATATAATGATCTATTGTATGTTTTATATACATAGTAATATATAATATATATCCTTAAGAATGCTTTCCTGTAGTGTCTAGTTATGGAAGTATAGCTGTTGAGATAAAGAAATTACACATTTGAAATTCTGAAACATGTTATTTATTAATAATTACTCTTCACAAAAGATTTATCAATTTTATCTAGCTATTGTATATGTAAATGCCTTTTTAAAATTTTATTTGCCAATCCTGGTTGTTATTTTTTTAAATAAAATATTTATCATTATGACTTCAAAAAATGGTATCTCATTGTTTGTTAATTTATATTTTTCTGATTACCAGACAAGGTTGAGTATCCCTAGTAAAAATATAAAATATTTTTATATTATATCATGAATAATAGCTCAAATTAGAATGTGCTGTATGGGAAAATAACAATTACCTATTGTTAAATATTGCTACAAGCTTACCTATCAGAATATTCATTTTCTATAATAGGGAGTGGCTGCTTATCAGTTTGTTCACTCTTCCTTTGTTGAATTAATCCAGCGCTGTCATCAGCAGCAGCATTGTACACATTTTCTATTATGTCCATTTCACTACTGTTGTGCATCTTTTCTTCTTCAACCTTTAATGAAAGTTTGATATTAAGGATACTGTTATTACTTCATTTATTAAAAAGGCCTTTTGTGTTTTCATTAATTTTATCATTTGGCTCTTAGTTTAATTTGTATGATTTTAATCAGTAAAGAAGCAGAAATATCTAACATTTCAGAAAGGGCTTTCTTAATTTTGTGCTCTATTCACATCCATTCTCCCTTTTACCCTCCTTCTATTTGTCCAGCAGAGACATTAAAATAAAAAGACAAAGACATAAAATTTGTCATCAGCTGTCTTCCCCCCCTGAATTTTGCATTTTACAGCCAGACTTAGAGACTGTGACACTATGCTTCGGTAACAAATAAAAAGATTTCCTCTTTCTGCAATAAGCTATTTTTTTGCACATTGACTTTTACAATTATTTTTGCTTTTAGACCCTTGAGTTACCAAAAAAGTGACGGTATTCATAAAATATATGAACCAAATTTTACTACAACACAGGAACAGAGTGAAAGTGATGAATTATTAGGTAATGTACAATCCTGGAAAATGAGTAATGTCCCTCAAATTTTACATTCAACAACTATAAAATTTTATAGTTAGAGGGTATGGTATAGAAGTAATTATCTACTTTAGTCCCATATTTGCTGATAATGGGAATAAAACCAAGGATAAATGATCTGTCCAAAGCACCTAAGGATGCATTACCTAGCATTTTATGGTCACCAACAGATGATACACTTCTATAATGTTGAATCAGAAAAAAAGAACAGGAAAATTCATCAAATTAACCAAATGAATTAAAAGTGTGACTTTTGCAAAGTAATGCCTTGGTTTGGGGAGAGGGCTTATCCACCTTTTGCTTTTAAAGGCCAATATCTTGATTTTTGCCTATCTTTTAAAGTCAATGAGCCTCAAAACTTAGTTTTCTCCTTTACAGTTAAATACTGTTTTTTTTTTTGCAAAGGTTTTATGCTACCTATATGATGTCATATATGTCAAAATTTGCTGTACTTCATTAAACATTCTATAAAGGTTTGAATCTATAAAAACATCTGAGAGTAATGATAAACTAAATATATGCAGAAGTATATGTGTTTGTTATTAAAAATATCTCAAAGTGGTCACTTTGGAATTCTAAGTTCCAGGGCTTTGATTAAAGCATATAATATTGCACACACTTAATGCACAATAATAGATGAGTTTAGCTAGGAATATGTTTATATTGCTTCCCTTAGTCAAGGCTTCCTTCCCATTTTATTGTTTATGGAATGCAATTTATATTGAAGCTAGTAAACTTAAAAAAAAAAACCCTAGTTCTTATTATATTTTTAAAGGAATTTTCTTTATACTTTTTCTTCACATCACATGGTACATAGCTAAATTAGTGTCCCAGTTCATATGGAAGACTGACAGAGAGACTTAAAGTTGATTAATGAACAAAAATTATGAGAATGTTCTCCTGAACTCCCATTACTTAGATGGCTGAAATAATCAATTTCTATACTTAATTACAGATTTACACAAACTCATTTTACACACTTTTTTCATAAGTGAAAAATAGATCATTGATGAGTAAAATGAAAATGTAGCAGGAAGTGAACCTTGATCTCTTTTTGAAGTTGATCTTTCTTTTTTTAAAAGCCAGAAACTCTTAATTTTAATATATCTACATAATTCTTAAAACCCTGTCTATCTTGCTATGATTCTTCATTTAGATAACTTTCATATGTTCTGTCACTATATGGTAGAGAAAACTTCACATTGAAAAAAGAATTTTTCCCAAGGTTTTATTTATTTATTTTAGAGAGATGAGAAGGGAGGGATAGAGGGAGAGAAGCATCGATGTGCAAGAGACACATCATTCAGTTGCCTCTTGCGCACCCCCAAGTGGGTACCTGGACTGCAACCCAGGCATGTGCCCTGACCTGGAATCAAGCCAATGACCTGTTGGCTCACAGGCTGGTGCTCAATCCACTGAGCCACACAAGCCAGGGACATCACTCACATTTTATAATTCATGTTCCGTGCTTTAACAGTTATTAGCAAATATCTTCATATAATGGCTTCTGGGTCAAATCTTGATTTTGGTTTTGTTTCCATATAAATATTTGTAACTGCAGAAATATCCTGTCTTTATTTGATGCAGTGTTTCATTTCATTGCAGCAGGCAAGCCTCAGATCAAAAATGCTTTTTGGATTAAAAGACTGAGGTGTATGTCTTATGCCTAATTTCCAATTAGTAATTCTTTGGGTTCATGTTTTTGCCCTCTGCATATCAAACTCTGTCTTTTTTTCATTTCAAACTTAACTAATGGGTATTTACTTTTTATTTTCATATCCTTATAAAAACTCTTCTCATTTTTGTTAAAAACAATTCTGTGTCTGGTTTGTTATCATTTTTATAGAGTATTTGTAATCATTTAAATGAAGCTTGGAAGAAGATGACCGGCAATCGTATTCCAAGGGCCCAGAGTATGAATGAGTTAGACATTTTCAAGAGTGGGTTCTCTTTGTTCAGGAAATGTTCAGAATACTGAAAAGACAGACACTCCAGATGCATCTTTGTTCTCACAATCAAGTATATTATCTGTCAAATTAGAAGGTATTTGTCTTAAGCTGGCTCCTTCTTTAGAGTCGTCATGTCACTACATCCTTGTCACTGGCTCTTCCTCAGGATAAGCAGTAATTTTGTGTTTTTCTCAAATTTCTCCAAACTTCTGCTTTAACTCACTTGTGATGGGTTTTAAATTATTTCTCCACTTAAATTTGCCTTGTTTGACACACATTCCCCATACTTTTGTATGGAGGATGCCCTAAGTATGCAGGTATATTGCCCCTGTCACATTCTCTATTTCTGGTTCTTGAGACATTTTTCCTGGTATAAAAGATTAATGTTCTTGGTTTGATTTTCAGATGTCTTCTCTATTGGGGTACATGTTGTGAAATAACTTTATTCTTAAGTAATCAAGTATGAATAAAGAAAAATTAGAGTTAACAAATTTTTTACTTTATTTTTATTGTTTACACTATGACAGATGTTCCAATTTTCCCCCACTTTGTGCACCACCCACTTCACCCTTGTCCCCCTCTTTCCTCTGACTATCACCACACTGTTGAGTATGTCTATGGGTTATGCATATATGTTCTTTGGCTACTCCTTTTACCTTCTTTAACCGAGTCCCTCTTTCTCTACTCCCCTCTGACAGCTGTCAGTCTGTTCCATGTATCCCTGCCTGTGTTTCTATTTTGTTCATCAGTTTATTTTGTTTATTAGATCCCACATATAAATGAGATCATATGGTATTTGTCTTTCACCGACTAGCTTATCTCACTTAGCATAAAAACTTCCAAGTCTGTCCACACTGTCGCAAAAGGTAGGAGTTTGTTCTTTTTTTTTATAGCCCCGTAGCATTCCATTGTGCAAATGTACCACATTTTTATCCACTTATCTACTGATGGGCACTTGAGCTGTTTCCAGAGCTTGGCTATTATAAATAATGCTGCTATGAACATAGGGGTGCATATATTCTTTCAAATTGGTATTCCAGGATTCTTAGGATATTCCCAGAAGTGGGATAACTGGGTCAAAATGCAGTTCTTTTTTAATTTTCTGAGGAAATTCCATATTGTTTTTTCACAGTGGCTGCACCAGTCTGCATTCCCATTAACAGTGCTTTGGGTTCCCTTTTTTCTACATCCTCGTAATTAGTATAATTGAAATTTAACTATTAAACTTCTTAATCTATATTTAGCTACTCCCAAATCACTAGACTGTAACTAAGAAGTGAAAAATAACTTGCCTTGGCCTAAACTTAAAAAAAAAAAAAAGAAAAAAAAGAACCAGTGACCCTAATTTTGTCACTATTGGAACTAATTAATTCATTACATGTTAAGTCTACCCAAAATAAATTACTAAGTGAATTTTAATGTTATAAAGGCTTCCTCACTTAAAATATTTTACCTCACTGCCCTGACCAGTGTGGCTCTCAGTTGGTTGGGCATTGTCGCACAAACTGAAAGGTCATGTATGCAATTTCTAGTTGGGGTACATGCCTAGGTTGCTGGTTCGGTCCCCAGTCTGGGCACGTACAGGAGGCAACCAACTAATGTTTCTCTCTCACATCAATGTTTCTCTCCCTTTCTTTCTCTCTCCCCCTCCTCTAAAAATAAATAAATAAAATCTCTAAAAAAAATATTTCACCTCAGCATATCGTAAATAGTGAGCCCCTATAGTGCATTTAAGAATTTTTTTTTGAGGGGGTGGTGATCCAAGATGGCAGTAGAGTAAGTGAAAGTTGCACTCTCCTCCCCCCAGGACCAAACTGGAATTACAGGAAAATCAACTTAAATAACTAACTGAAGAGTAACTTAAAACTAAAACGTTGCCTTTAAAATCAGGAACAAGACAGGGATGTCTAATTTTAATATTCTTATTCAACATAGTACTAGAGGTCCTAGCCACAGTAACCAGATGAGAAAGAAAAGGCAGCCTAATTGGAAAGAAAGAAGTAAAAATGTCATTATTTGTGAATAAATGATATTGTACATACGGAATCCTAAAGACTCCGCCAAAAATTTACTAAAATATAAATAAATTTAGTAAAGTGGTAGGATACAAAATTAATATTCACAAATCACCTGCGTTTTTATACACCAGCAATAAACTATCAGAAAAAGAAACTAAGAAAACAATCCCATTTACAATTACATAAAAATAAAAACCACCCTAAGAAAAATTTAACCAAGGAGGTAAAAGAATTGCATTCAGAAAATGTAAGATCCTGAAAAAAATGAAAAAAGTTACAAATAAGTGGAAGCATATAATTGTGTTACTAGCTAGAAAGAATTAACATCATTAAAATGTTCATACTACCCAAAACAATCTATGGAGTCAACACAACTGCTACCAAAGGTGTATTTCATAGAACCAGAACAAATAATCCAAGAAATTCATATGGAACCACAAAAAACCCAATAGTCTCACCAACTGTGAAAAAGGTGAACAAAGTTGAAGGTAACACACTACCTAGTATCAAATTATAATACAAGGCCATGGTAATAAGAACAGCATGATACTGGCATATGAACAGACATAGAGATCAATGATGCAGAATAGACAGCCATTGACAAAGGAGGCTATAAAATATAATGGGATAAAGGCAGTGTTTTCAATAAATGGTACTGGGAAAACTGGGCAGATACATGCAAAAAAACTCAAAGGTAATTAGACCACCTTCTTAGACCATATATAAGAATGAACTAAAAATGGATTAAAAACTTAAAGGTAAGACCTGAAACCATTAAACTGCTAGAAGAAATCATAGGCAGCAAAATCTCTGCGATTTCTCTTAGCAATATTTTCTCTGGCATATCTGCATGGGCAAGGGAACAAATACAAAAAGGAAACAAATGAAAGTACATCATACTAAAAAAAGGCTTTTAACAGCAAAGAAAACCATCAACAAAATGAAAGGACAACATACTGAATGAGAGAACATATTTGCTAATGATACATCTGATAAGGAGTTAACATCCAAAATTTATAAATAAGTCTTCCTACTCAACATCAAAAAAACAAACAATCCAATTAAAAAATGGGCAGAAGATTTGAACAGATACTTTTCCAAAGAAGATATACAGAAGGCCAACAGACATATAAAAAGATGCTTAATGTCACTAATAGTCAAGAGAAATGCAAATTAAAGCCACAATCAGATGTCATCTCACACCTGTCAGAATGGCTATCATCAATAAATCCACAAATGACAAGAGTTGATGAGAATGTGATAAAAAGGAACCCATGTGCACTGCTGGTGGCAATTCAGATTGGTGAAGCCACTATGAAAAACAGTATGGAGTGTCCTCAAATAATTAAAAACAGATCTGCCTCATGACCCAGCAATTCCACTTCTGGGTATATATCCAAAGAAACCCAAAAGACTAATTCAAAAGAATATATGTGCTCCTATCTTCATTGCAGTGTTAGTTAGAATAGTCACGCTATGGAAGCAACCCAAGTGCCCATCAATAGACAAGTAGATAAAAAACTGGTGGTACATATTTACATATGAGTACTCCTCAGCCATAATAAACAGTGAAACCTTCCCATTTGTGACAGCATTGATGGGCCTAGAGGGTATTAGGCTAAGTGAAATAACTCAGTCATAGGAAGACAAATACCATATGATTTCACTTACATTTGGAATCTAAAGAACAAAATAAACAAACAAAGAAAAGCAAAGTAAAGTCCTAGATACAGAGAACAGGCTGATGGTTGCCAGAAGGCAGGGATTTGGGAGACTGGGTGAAAAAGGTGAAGAAATTAAGAAGCACAAATCGGTTGTTACAAAATAGTCACAGGGATGTAAAGTACAGCATAAAGAACATAGCCACTAATATTGCAATAACTATGCGTGGTGCCAGGTGGGTAATGGAAATATTGGGGGAAATACTTTGTAAAGTATATAATTATCTAACCACTATGCTGTATACCTGAAACTAATATAATAAAGAATATAAACTGTAATTAAAAAATAAAATTAGAAAACAAAGAATTTTTTAAAAAGACTGACTGGAGAAGAGGCAAGCTTTAAATTATTAGGATCCAAAATCATTGACATCAATCAAAAAGAAAAGCAAATTCCTAAATTTAATTCAAATAATATTTTATGATAGTGTATGCATTCATATAGTTATCTTGTGCATCCAATTCTAGTATGCTGTAATATTTGCTAATGAGTGGCTAAAAATTTAATAATATTTACTGATTTTCTACATTGAAATAAAATAAATTAGAAAGTCATTATTTGTATCCTATTAGAAAAAGGTTCCATTCAGGAAGGTGTGGTTCTCTTACTCAGCAGTTGAGATGATTTTATGACCCCATTCTCTCTCTCTATGTAGACCCTGAAGTCAATTACATAGAGCTCACAAGGAAGCATAAAGCTTTAACCTTGGCATTAGTGAGTAGCAATACAACACTGCAAATTTTGAACCACTGACAATGACTCTTTTCACATGAATCCAGCTCAGTGGCCATCATTGTTACATTGTTCATAATTTTAATTGTCATGATATGATTCAGTATTTGATGTTACCTTCTTTATCACATGAGGAGGCTATAAAAATGCAAGAAGCAAACAATATGAGATCTTTTTGTCTCAATTACAAAGATAAAGTTTAGCTATAAGTTATAAGAGATTCTAACAATAACTAAGTCTCATAACAAATTAAAACTAAATATTCAATTATGATCTATTGACTCTAAGAGCCTATCTTGAAAGGTAACTTCGTTTGGACTATGTTACATTATTAAAAAATAGAAAACAATATTATACCAGAAATTCAAATTTAAATTTTACATACCTGTGTGTGGTTATTTTCACTTTCATACAACCTTTCTTGCTCTTCTTCTGATGTCACTTCTAAGTCTAGTTCTGCTGACAAATCTACATATTAGTTAAAAAGAACTACTTAGAAGAGTTAAAAACTGTAATTTTTATAAAAATGGAAAACACACTTTATTGAGAGTTTAAATTAAGCTTAATCTTTAGCTGAATATTTACTTCTTTAAGAAATACTTCTAATTATTGAAAACTTCAACAAAGCATTTAGGATATATTAGCTCAAGGCACAGAAACCTCACAAATTCACTTACCTGATGTCAATGAACAAAACAATCAGAAACAACAGAAAATTTAGAAATAGCATACAAACCTTATAAAGTCACACTGGATTTTCTACCTCGTAATGATACCTTTTTAACATCTCCTTAAGCTTCAACTGCAACATTATTCATGATTTCCAAAATCACAGTCACTTTCTATGCCTTTATCAGTGTATACTTTTGTTATATTTGAAATGTTTTCCTCTACTATTCTGACAAATTTGTTTTCATATTTTAGGACTCAGCACTGGTGTTTAAAGAACATAGATAAGAGGTGTCAGGAATGGCTTTTCTAGGGATAATGCCTGAGCTGAGGCTTAAACAGTGAGGTGACCCAGAATCAAAAGGGAAGAGGGCAGGAAAAGGAGATAGTGTGCAAGGCTGTATCAAGACAGGGAGAGAAGCATACAATAGGATCCATTATGTCTAAAGTGCACGGTTTGGTGAGGAGGGTATCACCAGCAGTTGTCATACCAGGGAAAAGAAAGGACAGTAGAGTGGGCAAAAGATGGAGAGTTAAACAGAAGTCAAATTTTAAGAGGCTTATATGTAATTTTAAGAGACCTGGACAGTAATATGCTTTATTTATTTTTTTATTTTTCAAGTACAGTTGTCTCTATTTTCCCCCGAGAATTCCCCTCTCCTGCCCATCCTCATTTCCCATCCCTGACCTTACCCTCCTCTTGGCTTTGTCCATGTGTCCTTTATGTATGTTCCCCCACAACCCTTCCCCGGACCCAGAGTCATATGAAAGGATGCTCAGTATCACTAGCCATCAGAGAGATGTAAATTAAAACCACAGTGAGATACCACTTCACACCAGTCAGGATGGCCATCATAAACAAATCAACAAACAGCAAGTGCTGGCCAGGTATGGAGAAAAGGGAACCCTAGTGCACTGTTGGTGGGAGCGCAGACTGGTGTAGCCACTGTGGAAAGCAGTGTGGAATTTCTTCAGAAAACTGAAAATGGACAGTAATATGCTTTGAAGAGTGGTTCATCACATTTGCATTAGAGATACATCATTCTAAATGCTGTTGTAGTGATGAATTTGAGTGGCATATGTATAAATGGAGGAGGATGAATTAGGAGGCAATAATGCAAAATAGAGGATACGGGCCTGAACTGAGGAAATGTTTCCAGAAATAATTAATATATAAAATTTTCGGGGCCCAGTACACAATAAACCTTTATTCAGTGAAAAAAATGTTCAAATCCTGGGTCGACTAGATTTTGCTCATTAAATAAACTACAAGAATTGTGTTAAGTTGCTTGAGTTTATTTTGTAGTTTTTCTGTTTCACCTGTTTATGTGATGAGAGAACTTGTGCAGGTGTTTTCAAAGTCTTGCTTCTTGGCTCTATCAACCTCATGAAGAAATAAGATTCTTGTGTAGATAGGTAAATAACTGGATTTATAGCTTTAAGTCACTAATCCAGGAGGTTATTGAAGGTATTTTGTAAATACAATGTTAGTTGTAAAGGTAAGGAAAGAAGTTAAAATTATGGAAATAAAAAATGTATGTTCAACCTATTCCTACACATCTGATTATATGACTGATAAAGTGCACTAAGTTAATATATAGTACATAAAGTAGAACACATATTAGATGTGGTTAATCATTAGAATGAGTATCCTCTTAGAATTAAAATTGGTTTTCCGGATATTAATTTTAAGTGATACAGCACTCCTTAAAGCCAATATTCCTTGTGAATCATGTATTTGTTAACAAAAAAATAAAACAAGGTGACAACTTTGTGGACACAGCTTAGAAGCAGGTACTGTGTAGCAAATTCTCAATGATTCCCATTACTGCAGGAAAAGCCAATTCTTAAATGTATAAAGCCATAGAAAATAAAAGAAAAACTTTAATATTTGGTTTTGTAAGGTTATTTTTCAGGTACACTGAATATAGTTATAATAATTGTGAATTCAGAGCTATAAAAATAAAGCTAAAAACCACATTTTGTTTCAGTAGGCAATATTTAGATTTCTACCTAGTTTTCCCATCTAGTCCCAAATTTCCAAATATAATCCTGCTATCCACTCCCAGGTGTATGCCAAATGCTAACATAAAGGAGCTTACTCTTTCTCCTAATTCTCTTTATATTTAATTATATGTTTCTATGGTTACAGGGAGAATGCAAATGTCTTGGTTAAAGATATTCTGTTTGGTTGTAGGGAGTAAATATAAAGTAGATTTTGCATATGAAATGATTTTTCAAAAGTCAAAACTATGGTGAGGCCACAGAGGTGGTCTAGGGATGAACTCTGTTCCTTTATTATCATCGTTGCTCTCTTGTCTGTGCTGGAAACTGTGACTCACACAGGTCATGGAGCCTAAAATTTCCTGACAGAAGCAGCTCCGATATTAATCTTTTTCTCTATCTATTAAGGTCATCTGTCTAGTCTGTAAATGCTGACTGACTTTTGGTCATTGATTGTGATACTAATAGACATTTATCATCAACTTTAAAATTCCCAGATCTTTGCCCTGGCTGGGAGGCTCAGTTAGTTTGGAGCCTTGTTGCATAAACACAAAAGGTTGTGGGTTTGATTCCTGATCAGGGCACATGCTTTGGCTGCAGGATCAATCCCCAGTTGGGGCACATATGGGAGGTAACCGACTGATGTCTCTCTCACATGGATATTTCCCTCTCTCTCTCCCCCTTCTTCTCTCTCTAAAATCAATCAACATCCTCAGGTGAGGATTAAAAAAAAAATTAAATAAATATAAATAAAAGATAAAATTCCCAGATCTTTGACAAGTCTCATGGTTGAGTATCAAACTAGTAGTAAAACCACAATGTGAAGAACTTGAAAATAAAGCATTCATTTATTACAATGTAAATTATAATACAAATTTGACAGACTTATAAAAATTCTTCAGAGAAGTAGTCCCATGAAACCATAAACATACACACACACATCTGATTAGATGTTCTAATCAGAACATCTGGTTGGCTTAAGATCATCAGTATAACAACATTAAGATGAAATAATTAAGCTAAAACACTACTGACATGTTAGCAACTGAAATTTAACTCTAGATAAAGGTAAGAATTCAAATAAGCATTTTATTTAATTTTTTAAAAGCATTCCTTCCTTTTAATTTTGTTTAAAAAAATTTTTTTCAGAACGAAGGGATGCAAGAGAGAGAAAGGGAGGGAGAGAAACATCTATGTGCAGGAAAAACAGCAATCAAGTTGCCTCACACACTCCCACAACTGGGGTCTGGCTCCCAACCCAGGCATGTGCCCTGAACAGGAATTGAACAGGTTGGCACTAAATCCATTAGGCCATGCCAGCCAGGGCCAAATAAGTTTAAAGCAGTGGGAAAATCTTAGATTCTAAAAATTAACCTCTGGGAATCACTAATAGCTACAGGTATTTCAAACTGAAAACTTTAGGGTATCAAAACAAAAGTCAAGACATCTATTTCAAGTATAGATTTTTAAAATCTTGATTTTTCTGTAAATATCAAACATGGATGCCCAAAAACGACATCTACATTACTTATGTCAAAACCTACAATTAAACTTGCAAAAAAAGAAAAAAAATGAATTAGTGAGAAGACTATGAGCATATCAAATATTTTCCTGTATTCCCTTCCAGAATTAAATTTGTAGTAAAAAAACTTACCTGATCTGGATGTTTGTACAAAGTTCATTCCTACTGCTTTTCTAGGAACCAGATCTTTCACTTCAACAGTAGGCTGAATGAGTTTTGAAACAAGATGATTAATAAATAATGTATATTTCATATAACCTGTAGTTAATATTTCAATATAAAAATATAAAAGTTATTACCTTTAAGTGAGAATATTTTCCAGGAGAATCTAAAGAGCAAAGAGACATATGCTCAACTATATGAAAATATGAAAGCCAACTATACATTCATGCAGAGTTACTACAGAGCTGAATCTTCATGCTTAGCCTTGGAAATTATTACATTAGGAGTTAGTATTTTGTTTTTTCTTTTCAGGGTCTGGGCAGATATGGACACCAACTAAACAGAAATATGAATACACTATAAATACTGAAAAAAATAGGTTTAACAAAACATACACTGAAGATTTCAAAAGTAAAATTGTTTTGAAAGATTCTAACTAAAATAGTAAAGTGTGCATACACCAAAGTGAACTTAATGCTTGATGAAACAAAAGCGATCTTTAATCAGAGAAACAAGTCATGACCCTGACAGAATAACTGTGAAGCAGAAGGCAACAGCAGATCCTTAATGCAATGCATCGGAATCATTTATATTATTACGCTGCACGTATTTATCATGTTCACCACTCTGTCCTGTAATTTAATAAGTACACAATTATGAGGATGGTTCGGTTTAATGCATAATCATTTATCAACAGAGAAAGTGTTATGACTTGGTCAGCTTGGATATACACTTAAAGAATAATAGTTAATAAAAATAGTCTTTTTTTTTCACACCAATATGGGCTACTGGTATGCCTACATTTCCTGTAATATCTACTTTAGCAATCTTAAAAGTTTCTTGATCCACTCATGCAAGAAGGTACATAAAACACATCTAAGAAATAATGTATAATGAGATTTTAATATTGAAATGTGGTTACTAAAGATGAAAAGAATGAATTTAATGCCACAGAAGTATTAGATGTTAAAAATATTTTTTACTTCTAAATCAGTGTAATATATACTGAAAATAACAACTATAGCTTTTAGAGAATAAATTCTGATTTCTTTTCTGTCCAAAATCGGTTTGGTATACTATGCTAGTCTTTAAAGGAGTTTTATAAAACAACTATCTTATCAAAACCTGAGCTACCATAAAAACACAGCCGGTGCTTCTATATTCAAATTACTTTCACTGGGGTAACAAATACCAATGTAACGTACATCTCTGATGCCTGATAATCATGAGGAGGGTAAATGAGGGGCCACAGTTCACCCCAGTACTAGTACTCCCTCCTGCTTTCCTTATTCCCAGGAGTAGTAATGATTAAATCTTCCGTTTTACTGCCAATATCCTCAAGTTATAAAGTGAGGCCTCTCCAATTTCCTTGACTCTAAAATAACCTAGCTAATGCCTTTCTTTCCGCCCTCCTCCTCTCACTATCCTCTTTTCCTTTTCAAAAGCAACTTCTAGATTTTTGGTCTTAATTCTTCCCCTTTTTTCATTCTTTTTGTGGATTATCCATATCACTTCTTCTTCGCTCTGTTTAGCAGTAGTATCTTACATCTATAATTTATATTTCTTCATCTTTTTGCTTTCTTTGGCCATAGATGTGCTCAGAAGTAATAACAAAACAATGTTTTTCATGTCTTAAACTATCTATTCAATGGCTCTTCTTCCAGGTTTCTCTGAAGAAAAATCTATACCCTTTCTCCACAGAGCAGGCGTGGTCTGTGGGCCAGCAGCACTGGCGTCACCTGAGAGCTTGTGAGAATGCAGAATACCAGACCTGATGCTCTCACTTCTTTAGACTTGAAATTGCGTTAGAAGTCATAAACTTTTGGTTTCCAGCCAAGACGGAGGTATAGATAGATATGCTTCATTTCCTCGTACAACCAAAAGAAGGATAACAACCAATTTAAAAACAAACAACAACTAGAACTGCCAGAAAATTGAACCGTATGGAAGCCCAACAACCAAGGAGTTAAAGAAGAAACATTCATTCAGGCTAGTAGGAATGACGGAAATGGGCAGCTGGGGCGGAGAGGACATGTGTGACAAGGTGGCAGCTGGAGGACAGGGTGGTCACACATTTGCGAGCAGATAAATGAGGAGGAACAACTGGGGAGTGGGACAGACCACACAACCCAGGGTTCTAGCACCAGAAAAGAAAGCTTCAAAACCTCTGGCTCTAAAATTTATGGGGGTCACAGTGGTGGGAGAAACTGCCAGTCTCACAGAAGAGTCCATTGGAAGGACTCATGGGGTCCTAGAATGTATAGAAGCCCACCTACTCGGAGACTCAGCACCAAAAGGGCACAATTCACTTGTGGGTAGTGGAGGGAGTGACTGAAAGCCAGGCAAGAGCTGAGCAAGTGGCATTGTTCCCTCTCTGACTCCTCCCCTACATACAGCATCACAACCCGACCGAAGTAAGCTGCCTGCCCAGGGGAATACCGAAGGCTCGACCCATTACAATGTAACAAATGCAACGAGACAAAGAAATATGGCCCAAATGAAAGAACAGATCTGAACTCCATAGAAGTACTAGGCGCTGAGGAGCGAGCCAACCTATCAGATGCAGAGTTCAAAACACTGGTAATCAGCATGGTCATAGAAATGATTGAGTATGGTTGCAAAATAAAGGAAGACATTCAGGCTACACTAAGTGAAATAAAGAAAAATATACAGGGAACCAACAGTGAAGAGAAGGAAAGCGGGACTCAAGTCAACGATTTGGAACAGAAGGAAGAAATAAACATTCTACAGGAACAGAATTAATAAATAATTTTAAAAAAATGAGGAACCTCTGGGACAACTTTAAATGTTCCAACATCCAAATCATAGGGGTGCCAGAAGGAGAAGAGAAAGATCAAGAAATTGAAAACTTATTTGAAAAAATAATGAAAGGAGAACTTCTCCGATCTGGCGCAGGAAACAGACATGCAAGCCCAGGAAGCTCAGAGAGTCCCAAAGAAGGTGGACCCAAGAAAGCACACACCAAGGCACATCATAATTACATCACCCAAGATTGAAGATAAGGAGAGAATCTTAAAAGCAGCAAGAGAAAAGTAGACAGTTCCCTACAAAGGAGTTCCCGTAAGACTATGAGCTGATTTCTCAAAAAAAAAATTATAGGTAAGAAGAGGCTGGAAAGAAGTATTCAAAGTCATGAAAGGTAAAGACCTACATCCAAGATTACTCTATCCAGCAAAGCTATCACTTAGAATGGAAGGGCAGATAAAGTGCTTCCCAGATAAGGTCAAGTTAAAGGAGTTCATCATCATTAAACCCTTATTATATGAAATATTAAAGGGACTTATCTAAGAAAAAGATCAAAAACTATGAACAGTAAAATGACAACAAATGCACAACTATCAACAACTGAATGCAAAAAAATAAAAACAAAAACTGAGAAAACAACTAAAACAGGAGCAGAATCACAGAAATGGTTATCACATGGAGGGTTATCAGCAGGGAGGAGGAGTGGGGAGACTGTGGGAAAAGGTACAGGGAATAAGAAGCATAATTCGTAGGTACAAAATAGACAGGAGGCAGATTAAGAGCAGTACAGGAAATGGAGAAACCAAAGAACTTATAGGTACAACCCATGGACATGAATGAACTAAGGTGGGGGGAATGATGGAGAGAAGGGGGGTACAGCGCAGAGGGCGATATAAGGGAGAAAAAATGGGACAACTGTAATAGCATAATCAATAAAATATACTTAAAAAAATAGAGGTCATAATCTTTCTACTGGATTTTTCATCAGGTTATAAGTTCTTTGATCTCCCCATAGCTGATCCTTCTCTCATTTTTTCCAATGCTCTCATTCTGGGCTGTAGAATATCATCCTATAAAGTAGCAACATTTTGTATGACTTCACAGTGTAGACATTTAGAGCTGACCACATATGCTTATGCTCATCTCTGGTAGATAAAATACATCTCTACATGATCCATAATGACTTCCCAATAGTGAAGGAAAGAGAAAGAGTAGCAAACTTTTGCTGTACTTCTCTGGTAAGTTTTGGTACTAGACGCTCTCTCTATATTCTTCTTATATTTCAAACACTCCTCTTCCTTTTTTAAAAAGAATTATTTTATTTTATCACCTCCTACTATACAGAGTGGGGCAAAAGTAGGTTTACAGTTGTCTGTATAAAAAAATAATACAATAATTAAAAGATAATATAGAAGAATAAACTCTGTGTTTCATGTACTCACAACCGTAAACCTATTTTTGCCCCACCCTGTATATACCTGCTTTTTTTACCTTCAGTTACTCCCTGTATGTCTACCTTCTCATTCTTTAATCCTTTTTTTATTCTTTGCCTCTTCCTTATCTCCTCACTTTCCTCAGGCCTCAGAGAAGCTTGAATGGGAACAAATAATTTAGCTCTTGCAGTAGCACTCTCAATTTAATCTCTTGCTGATACCTGATAAGATTTACAACTTACTATCACTTTTCTTTTTACTTACTATGCATTTAGCAGGTGGTTTTCTTTGACTATTACAATATATGAGTGCTCGTGTTTTAAATCAGCAATTTGTCAAAGGACTTTTTATAAAATACAGTTCTTACCTTCTACTTGTTCCTTTAGTATAATTTTTTCTCTCTGATCTACAGCTTCAGATAAATGATCAACATGCTCCTGTGGAAGACTTGCAGAGAAACTCTCCTAAAATTTATATCAATAATGAGTTACATAGTGATTTCCTAACCCCTTTCTAAGAAAATATCTCAATTTCCTACTTTAAAAGCAATTAGACTTAAAATTAAGAGAAGCATGTGCTGAATAAAACGTTTAAATAGAAAACCTCACATATGCTCTCTAGATCATGCTTTTTAAAAAAATCTTCATTTGGCTACTGACTGTATATTGAGCATGAAAAGCCAGAGAAAATACTTTCCTAGACAAAATACTGATGTATATGTACATTTCAACAAGCAACTATCTTCAAATTACCTACTTCTACTTTGCATTCTCCATCAAAATAAGACATTTTAGAAAAAAAACTTATAAAACACATTATCTAATAACTATACTTGCTAAAAATTTTAAATACTTGACAGAATTTTTTTTTTTAGTGTTAAAAACACTTGACATAAGAAACTTTGGAGTGTGTTAAGTATAAACAAAATACTATAAAACCTGCTTCATTTATGTACTCTAAGGCTTAGACAAAGCTATTACTTGATAAAATTTTTGATAGGAAAAATGATCGAATAAAATGGCAAAATAGTAAGAAAAACTCTTCTTTAAATTATGTTTAAAGTTGCCATAAAGTACGCAATGCATGCTGTTTTAACTATTGAAAACAGCTGTTACTTATTGAAACACCACTAAGCCAAACTGTTGTTATAATCCTACATATTTATTACTATTCACCATGCTTTTCTTCCTCTGGAAATGTTCCTTGTGCATCTACTTGACAATCAAAATTGAACACTACTTTGGAGTCCCATGCATTAACTTTACAAGTGCCAAGTTATAAAAACTATAATCCATACTGCTTCTCTCTGAATCTCATTAGGAGTTTTACACACACATATAATAAACCACAGTAACATACACTGGCCATAGGTTGCCATGGAATAATTCTTTAGATTTTAGATACACTTAACTTCAGAACCCAAACTGATTACTTATGATTTCAAAGCCTTAGTTATTTATAATATACTACACTGATTTTATTAAGTGAATCATGATATTAGTGGAATTGTACTATGCAGTATTATTATAAAAGGTGGGGCAAAAGTATGGGGACAGTTGAGAGTACGTGAAAAAGATTATTCTTGTATTATAATTAATTATTATATTATTCCCCACACAAATTACTGTGAACCTACTTTTGCCTCACCCTGCATTAAGCACATAGTTATTTTATTAATTATAGGTTAAAATATAAGAAAATAATTTTATTGGGCAAATACAGAGGTAAGAAAGTCAAAGCATATTTTTTATCTAAAATAATAACAATAATTAATAATAATAAAAACTGTACCTCAGAGTCCCAAAGTGATTCTCTATCTTCATCTTCTAATCCTAATGCTGCCAGTTTGTCTATAAAGTGAAGTCACAGATACATTAATGTGAACATTTTTTATTATGAGTTTTAAATACATATACAGGTCTATCTCCATTTATGAATATTTCGATAAACTAAAAGTAATAGCAGAAAAGATTTTCAGAGGGTTGAAGCATTTGCAGGAAGAAAAAGATGGTAGTAGTTGGGATACTTTTGAATAAACATAGCAAAAAGATAAACCCCTTTAAAAATGGATATTTGGATCTATACAAATTAGATTTGTTTATACCAGCATTTAAGCATAGGAAAAAATTCATATAGTCACTAACTTACCACTACTATTGTTTTTATATTTTCCATCAACATAAGTAAAATTGTTATTATTTGTTTGGTTTTGTGGAGCACTTTCAATAATATCAATACCATTTCCTTTGTTTTTAATTTCTGGCTTTGTTGCTTTTTCCTATAAAAACAAAGCAGAACAAAATAAACATAAACCCAACTTTAGAAAAAGTCATATTCATTCACTTGCCCAATCACATTCACTCAATCACTAGGAAAATAAACATTTACTGTATCTATAAATCATACACTCTAACCTGGGAAAAACTAGATATATAAATAAAAGATTTTGCCCTATTTTCTAGTAGGGGTAGAGATAATGAAAATAAGAGAAGTATCATTTGCTGGTTCTACAACTAAAGTGAATAAACTACAGTAAGGGCAAAAAAGAGGTAACAGTCTTTTCTATCTGGGAAGCTCAAGAAATGATACATTGTGAAAGATGTACTAAGCGCAGAGGGGGAGCATGAAGGGCATTCTAGAAAGGTCAGCATGAGCAAAAGCATAAGGTAAGTGAGGGCACAAAAGGAATGTGGTAAAACTGGAATGGCGAAAATGGGAGGGAGAGATAAAACTGGAGAATCAGAGTCTAATCAAAACAGGCAACTGTCATGCTAGCATATGAATTTTGCCCAAATGTAATGGAGAGCCACTACATATGCAGGGGAGTTACACCATCACAAATATATTTTAGAGCAGTCACTCTGGCAGCAATGTAAAGATGAACATAAGGAGAGCAAAACTAGAAAAGAGTATTTCAAAATCGAAAGTGAGAAAGTAAATTACTATAAGTAAAGTACTGACATAAAAAATGGCATCAGGTAGAAAGTATTAAACTTGGTGAGTGACTGGATGTGGTGATCTCAGGGAGGGCTGCAGACCAGGATTTTTCCTGCTTCAGTGTTCCAGTGCTGCTATGTATGAGGATGGGAAATCAGGTGACAGAGCAGGCTACAGAGTCAGGAAAGGGGGAAGGGTCAGGGCAATGTCTTCAGTTTGGGGCATAACAAATTTGAGACACCCAGCAGACTTAGAAGAAAGATCTAGATAAATACACTTGTAAAAATAGATGACCTTATTCAGGAAAAGCATATGATGTTAAGAAGACAGATATTTCTAAAATATACTAAACTGATAAAATTCAATAATGCAAACCTACACAGAATTTCTAAAATTTTGAAAATAAAACAAGTGCACAGGTAAAAGAACAACATGGGACTCAATTTTTCAGTTATACATTTCAAAATTTGTTTCAACAATATAAAATACCCTTTTACAAATATATACAAATATTTTGGGGATATTTCCATATAAACATTTTAAGTTTAATGAAAAAATTTGATGGCAAAATACCAATTCACAATTTTAGAAGAAGACTACTTTTTAAATATTAATTTTAAAAGGCAAGTTTTAAGTTGTAAAAGAGAAATGCTTATGTGATTATAAAATTGAGGCATTTTAAAGTACCACTATGATGTATAAAAGAAATATAAAACTCTATTTTAAAATTCACATGGTTTTCTTACTTCCCTGTCAACAACATACTAATGGCTCTGATTACCTGTCTACTCCATATAGGATGATACCTAGAGATGTATTTAAAAAAATCTAGTATAAAAACTAATTAAGACTATGATTATCCAAGTTGAAGATTTAAAGGCTTCAAGTGTATCTATGATTATCAAGGAGGACTGAATGAAAAAGGGACTAAAAAATCAAGTCACCAGGAGGTCTGAGAATTAGATATGAAAGCATTTTCATACTAGATCTAACAACTATGAATACTAAAGTTAATAAAGTTTCTTAAGAATAATATGTAATGTATCCATTTTCAAAGATATTCTAAAAAGTAAAAAATCATCTTTCAGAGATAATTTTGTATACTCTCTTTCCTTGTTATTTTTTAATAGCAAGCATTTTATATGAGAAAAAAACTCAAAATTGTGATTTCATTCATTTGGTATTTGCATATATGTCCATTAATTGCAGATATTATTATGACAATATAAATCAAAATCTCTAGCTCTCAGAGGCTAGATAGCTGCTCATAGTCTTGTAGCTAGGAGATGGTACAGCGAGGGCTCAAACCTAGGCTGCCAGTCTCTCAAACCCATGATGAAACCACATTTGGCTCTGCCATCCCATTCTACCTCCACTCCCATTTCAGGCCTTCCTATGCTTTCTTTCTTCCTTTTGTCCCCCCATTCCTTGACAAACCCTAAAGTGAAGAACTGCGATAGGCACTCTGAGAACATGGAGAGGGAATCCGTGAGTCTGCCCAGTCCTGCTCAGTCTGATTCTGACCTGGAGCAGGCTGCAGACTAAAGCTCAGAGATGTTCTGCGTCATTGTTTACAATGGCAAAACAACTGTCTGTCCAGTCATAGGGGACTGAATAAGTAACTCATGTGATTTCCACATAATATAAGTCTTTGCAGCTACTGCACCACACGAAGAGCTGCTTAGAGAACCATATTAACAGACATGTTTTAAATGAGCCCATTTGATGATTTTAAAATGTAAAACATGATCTCATCTTAAGGAAAATGTTTTTAGCTTTTACCATTAAGTACGATATTAGCTGTTGGTTTGTCATATATGGTTTTTATTACAATGAGGTACGTTCCCTCTACTTCCACTTTGCTGAGTTTTTTTAAAATTATAACTGGATGCTGGATTTTATCAAATGCTTTCACAGTATCTATTGATATGATCATATAATTTGTATCCTTCCTTTTATTTGGTATAATACATTAATTGATGTGTAGATATTGAACAAATCTTGCACCCCAGGAATAAATCCCACTTGATCATGGTATATAATCTTTTTAATGTATTGTTGAATTTAGTCTGCTAATTTTTATTGCATCTATGTTCATCAGGAGTATTAGCCTACAATTTCCTATTTTTGGAATGTCTTTGGTTTTGGAGTCAGGATAATGTTGGTGTTGTAAAAAGAGCTTTGAAGTCTTCATACCTCTTGAATTTTCTGGAACAGTTTCAGAAGAATAGATGTAAGTTCTTCCTTGAATGGTTGGTAAAATTAACCTGTAAGGTCATCTAGTCCAAGACTTTCATTTGTTGAGAGGTTTTTGATAACTGATTCAATTTTGTTGGTAGTAATCCATCTCCTCAGATTTTCTATTTCTTCTTGATTCAGTTTTGCGAGGTTTTGTTTCTAGGAATTTATCCATTTCTTCCAGATTGTCCAATTTGTTAGCATGTAATTATTTTTATTATTTTCTTATAACCCTTTGTATTTATGTGGTGTTAGTTGTCACTTCTCTTTCATCTGTGACTTTATTTTTTGGGTTCTCTCTTTTTCTTGATGAATCTGATAAATGGTTTATCAATCTTGGTTATGCTTTCAAAGAACCAGCTGTTGGTTTCATTGATATTTTGTATTGTTTTTTAGACCATACTTTATTTCCACTCTGATCCTTATTATTTCCTCCATTCTACTCACTTTTAGCTTTGCTTACTAGTCTTTCTATAGTTTCTTTGGGTGTAAGGTTAAATTGTTTGAGATTTTTCTTGTTTCTTGAGGTAGGCTGGTATTGCTATGAATTTTCATTCGTCTCAAGGTAACTTTTATATCTTTCTTGATCTCATTGTTAACCCATTCATTGTTTAGTAGTATATTATTTAGCCTCCAGGTGTTTGTGTGTTTTTCAGTTTTCTTCTTGTAATTTGTGGTCAAAAAACATGTTTGATATAATTTTAATTTTTAAAATTTATTAAGATTTGCTTCATGGCTTAAAATGTAATCTATCTTAGAAATGTTCCATGTGCACTTTAAAAAATGCATTTCTTTTGTGCACATGTTCTCTACTTTTTTGTGGGGGGGTGCTCTAAAAATATTAATTAAATTCATCTGGTCTATTGTGTCACTTAAAGGTTGTTGCTACCTTGTAGATTTTCTGTCTGGAAGATCTATTCATTGATGTCAATGGGGTATTAAAGTCCCCACTATGACTGTATTACTGTTGATCTCTCTTTTTATGCCTATGATGATTTGCTTTATATATTTAGGTGCTCCTATGTGGAATGCATAAATACTTACAAGGATTATATTCTGTTGTTGCATTGATCCTTTTATTATTATATATAATGTCCTTCTTTATCTCATATTATAGTATTTTTTAAGTCCATTTTCACAAGTTTTATTCAACATAGTATTGGAAGTCCTAGCTACAGTAATAAGACAAGAAAAATAAATAAAAGATATTCAAATTGGAAAGGAAGAAGTAATATTTTCTTTATTTGAAGATGACATGATACTATACATAAAAACCTGAACAGCCGTGGCCAGTGTGGCTCAGTTGGTTGGAGCATCATCCCATAAACTGAAGGTTGCAGGTTCGGGTCTTGGTCAGGGAACATACCCAGTTTGTGGGTTTAGTTCTCGGTTGGGGTGAATACAAGATACAATCAATTGATGTTTCTCTCTCAAATTGATGTTCTCACTCTCTCTTTCTCTCTCCTTTTCCCTCTCTCTCTAGGATCAAGGAGCATATCCTTAAGTAAGGATTAAAAAAATTAAAATAAAATAAACCCAAACAATTCCACCAAAAAACTACTAGAACTGATTAATGAATTCAGTAAAGTAGCAGGATACAAAATTAATACTCAGAAATTGGTTGCATTTTTATATGCCAATAGTAAATCACCAGAAAGAAAATTAAGAAAACAATTCTATTTACAACTGCACCAAAAATAAATAAAATGCCTAGGAAAAAATTTAACCAAGGATGTAAAAGACCTGAACTCAGAAAATACAAGACATTGAAGAAAAAAACTGAAGAAGATACAAATAAATACAAGCATATACCATGCTCATGGATAGAATGCATAGAATGAATTAATAGCATTAAAATGTCCAGACTATCCAAAACAATCTATAGAGTTAACGCAGTCCCTATCAAAAGAGCAAACACACTTTTTACAGAACTAAAACAAAAGACCTTGAACACCACAGCAATCTTAAGGAAGAAGAATGAATTTGGAGGTGTCACACTACCTGACATCAAACTACAGTAATCAAAACAGCATGGTACCGGCACAAAAACAGACACATAGACCAGTGGAACAGAATAGGGATCTCAGAAATAAAGCCATGCCTATATGGTCAATAATATATGAAAAGACAGATTCATGGAAAAAAAAATAAAACTATACCACCTTCTTACATCATATATAAGAATAAACTAAAAATGGATTAAAGGCTTAAATATAGGACCTGAAACCATAAGACTTCTAGGAAATACATAGGTAGTAAACTCTGACATTACTCTTGGTAATATTTTTTATGATATCTCTCCTCAGGCAAGGGAAACAAAAGAAAACTAAAGAAATGGCACTATACCAAACAAATGTTTTTCGCAGCAAAGAAAACCATCAAGAAAACAAAAAGACAACCTACTGAATGGGATAACTCATTAACCAGCGACATATCTATTAAGGGGACAATATCTAAAATTTATAAATAACTCATACAACTCAACACCCCAGAAAACAAATGACCTAATTTAAAATGGGCAAAATCCTGAACAGACATTTCTCCAAAGAAAACATACAGATGGCAAATAGATATATGAAAAGTAGCTCAATGTCAATGAAAATAGTGAGAAATCACCTCACATCTGTCAGAATTGCTATCATCAATAAATTAACAAATAAGTGTTGGTAAGGATATAGAGAACAGGAAACCCTTGTACAGTGTTAGTGGGAATGCAGATTGGTGCAGCCACTATGGAAAACAGTGTGGAGCTTCCTCAAAAAATTAAAAATAGCATTACCATATGATCCAGCAATTTCACTCCTGGGAATATATGCAAGAAATCCAAAACCCTAATTCAGAGATACATGCACCTCTGGGTTCACTGCAGTGTTATTTACAAAAGCTAAAATATGAAAGCAAGCCAAGTGCCCATCAATAAACAAATGGATACAGACTTAGTAAATATTTACAATGGAATATTATTCTGCCATAAAAAGAATAAAATCTTACCATTTGTGACATGGATGGACTTACAGGGAATTATGCTAAGTGAGATAAGTCAGGCAGAGAAAGACAAATACCATATGATTTCATTAATATGTAGAATCTATAGAACAAAACAAAGAAACAAAACAGAAGCACTCATACACACAGTGAACGAACTGAAGGGTTGTTGGGTTGGAGGATGAAGAGGGAGAAGAAGTGAAAGAGGTGAAAGGAATAGAAAGTTACAAAATTGTCACAGGAATGTAAGATACAGAATAGGGAATATAGTCAATAATGTTGTAATAACTATGTATCGTGCTGGGTGAGTACTGGAATATTCAGAGAGATCACTTTATAAATTATATAATTCTCAAACCACTATGCTGTACATGTGAAACAAATATTAAATAACACTGTTTATCAATTATAATTTAAAAACTAAAAATAAAATGTAACATTATCTTAATTTAATTTACTATTGTTATGACAGTATTCTTTAGTGAGGTAAAGCTCACGAAACATAAAATTAACCCTTTTAAAGTGCAAAATTCAGTAGCATTTAGTATATTCGCAATATTGTGCAACCATCACTACTAGTTCCAAAACATCTCTATCTCCTCAAAGGAAACCCCATTCCCATTAAATAGACATTCCCAATTCCCCCCATCCCCAGCCTCTGGCAAGCACTGACTTACTTTCTGTCTCTATGAATTAGCTTATTCTGGATATTTCATATAAAAGGAATTGTACAATTAAAAATAATTTTAAAAATGAATCTCTACAGAAAAAATAATTTTTATTTAGGAGCATTTCAGCTTAAAGTTTATTCCCCATTTAATGAATAGAGATTAAGAACCTCTTACATAATTATAAATTTTATTTTTATATTTTTAAATTATATTTTATTGATTATGCTGTTATACTTGTCCTGATTTTCTCCCATTACCCTCATTTCCAGACCCCCAACTCATTCAGGATATCTCCCCACCATTGTTAATGTCGATGGCCATGCGTGTATGCTCTCTAGGGCAGGCCAAACAGTGTAAGCCAGGTTGATGGAGTCTCAGATATGGTATCAGCTTGCTGGCTCTGTGGCTCTGTTGGGGGAGGGTTCTGAAAAGGGACAATGGCCCCTGTTTGCTTTGGTGCCAGATACTTCAGTTTCTCCCTGTATGCCACTGGTGCGTTTCAAACTGCTAACCTGTTGTTGGAGCTCAGGGGGAATAAGTCTGAATAGGTGAGTCCATATGTAGGTTCTTTAAGAGGAACTACTTGGGATTTATGAAGTTTCTTCCACCAGCTCAACCCCACTGGTTTTTACAGTTAGAAGTTTTGGGGACTTATCTTCCAGGCACTGGAACCATGGGATGGGGGTCCTGGCGTGGGGCTGGGGCTCTTTGCTCCTGATATATCCCTTCCAAATTTTTATCCACCACACATGGGTATGGGACCAACTCATTCTGCATCTGCATCCCTCCTACCAGTCTGCATGGATATGGTTTCTTTAAGTCCATAGTTGTCAAACTTCCATTCAACTTGATTTTTGTTGTTTCTGAGTGATGGCTGTTCTATACTTTAGTTGTAATTTTGGTATGGTTGTGCAAGGAGGCAAGCCATGTCTGTCTAATCCACCATCTTGATGGCAAGTCCCCCATAATCATAATTTTTAATTTTAATGAACGAAAAAACAAAATAAAATGTTTATTTTTTCCCTTTACCAGCAATAAATAAATAAATAATCTAAAACGCTTACCAAGATTATACCAAAGTGTAAGATAAGTTAAATATATACCAAATAGTAAAATGTTAGAAACAACAAGAAAAAGAAGGGTAAAAATTCATAGTTCATAATAAACCTGAGAAGGCCTAAAACAGATTTCAATCTGCATTATTTATGAACACAGGTTTTGTTAGATAAAACGTAAGATGTCAATGTATTAAACTTAAAGGTGAGAATTTAAACAAACAACTTCAAATTAAAACTTTAATAACCAGAAAAAGGCGACAATTCAATTTCCTTCAGTTCTTTGTAAAAATCAGCTATAAGTAATTCAGAAGAGTCTGAGAATTTTTTTCATTACCTGGGTTTCTTTTCTTATTTTGCATTTAAAATTATTTCTATCATATTTCATAATATAGTGAGTTCCTGCCTTCACTTAAGTCTCCTGTTTCTGTTGTGTCTTCATAATAATCTCTTCATCTTGAATCTCTTTATTAAACCTTTATTTTCATCTTGCTCTTCTAAAATAATTTTCCCCCTTCATCCCCTTCATTACCTTCACATTCATCTACCTGTTCTTTCTAGTTGCTTTCCAATTTTTTCCTTCCATTATGGCATATGTAAGAACTGTTTATGCCCCCTAAACCTGTATAAATCCCAATCTTGCACGTGTATGGCTCTTCTTAGTATACTTGTTTCCTATCATGATCTTGAAGAATTCCATTTCTTTCTAGGATCCTTGTCATTATGATATAAGGATCAGGGGTATGCTATGTGAAAAATCAGGGGAAAAAAAACAGTTAAAATAACAAACCAACCTACCTTTGGAATACCAATGACTTCTAAGGACATTTCAGAAGCTTTTAGAAGAGGTTCAAGTGACAAAAAGGCAGGTTGAGAAAAGCCCTGGACTTTTTCTGATGTGTTGGGAAGGGTTTCAACAACATCTTCATTTTCACTGTGAAAATTATTGTCCTTATATAAGGTCCTATTTTCTGGTCTCACAATGGCATATTTTGCTTCTACTACAGTAAAACAAAATAAAGAATATATGAAGATATTTGTAACTTCAAATCAGTGAATAGCAGAAGTACAGACAAACTTTAAGTAGCTTACTGTTTTCCTGGGATTGTTGAATAGCAGTCATTAGCTTTCTTAAGCTTGGCTTCATGACATTCTAGGAAAAAAAAAAATCATATCTTTAAGTATCAAATTTGAAAACAATAATGATAATATACACCATTCTTATGTGATCTCACACAGAAATAGAATCATTCATATGTAAAGTCATATCCTAGTTCTGCCATTTACTATCCTCCATCTTCTCATGGAGTGAGGATTATGATATATGACATAGTAAGCCCCGAACTGTTATTTTACCTCTAAACGAATATTATCCAAATACTATGGTATGCATTAGATTAGAGTTACATATCCATTAGGCAGTTTAGAGTATTACTGCAAAACACTAACATTAAGAAATTTAAATTATTTATTTGTTATATTTTGTGTTTTTGTCTGATTTTAAGTACATGAGCTATCTTTTGTGTGGGAAAGTATGAGAATTTAGTTTTTAGTTGTATTTAGGTGGGTTGGAATTGCAAACACTAGAAAGTTCCTTCTATTCTGTTTCTCAGAAAGCTAAGAAGAAATGATTGTTTAAATTAAGCTCCCTCCAAGAAAGAGAAAAGAATAAACCTGTGGGGCCATACGCATATTAAATAGAAAGTCATGACCAAATATGTTGACAAAGAAGACAAGGAGATGGACTGAAAAAACAGACACTGAGGAAATGTTTTCTGCAAGGAAAAAATTAGGCTAGTGGTAAAACAGGAAAAAAAGGTGGAGGAAGAGAAAAAAAGGAGAAAAATGAGATATAATCAGTTAATCAAGTATAAGCCTAAGGCAAGAAAAAAAAGAAAAGCATAATATGTAGAAAAAATATATAGAATTTCAGTATATATGAATATATTTATAATATGACTAATTCGATAGAACTATTAGGAATATACTTTGAACAAAATCCTGTTTTATACATATTTTACTGTTACTAAAATATATAAAACTATATGAATATATTATATGTAAAATATAAAAGCCTTTATTTTCTATATTTTTATTATATATTAAAATACATAAAATTTTATAAAACTATATATGTAAAATTAATATATTACATACAAAGTATATATAATGTATAAAAATATAAATATATAAAATACATAAAATAGAGGCTTTTGTTTATAGTATGTCCTTATAATACTGATTTGTATTAACCTATAATTATTTCTTTTTATATACCATTGCAATAAAAAGTTTAATTTGTCACATAAAATAAGACATTCAGTTATTTGAACATGGTCATCTACGACAACCTGAAAACTGTACATTATTACTAGAGAGGGAGAAAAATAGGGAAAAAATATGTTCCTAACACATCTGCTTTCCATTTGGAGAAAGAATTAATCAGAATTCTAAGGAGAATTGTATGACTTGAAAAGATGTATTCAATGGAACATGAGATTGGGTCATGAAAAGGTTAAATTTTTTAATCTAAAATTATAAGCTCACAATTGAAGGACACTAAAAATATATACCATAGTCCAGTTTCTACTTTACCACATATTTCTCAGTTCCTTCTTATTTATGACACACTTCCTCCACATAACTCAACTGAATTTGTCATATTTCTAGAAATTCAAATAATTGAATTAAGGTATTAGATGCCTTTAACATTTCATTATACAGAACTCCATTTGCTCATTTACATACATTCAAAAATATGAAAAATTCTTCTTACATGTGAGGCTTTATTCTAGGTGCTCCAGGATATGCACAATTATGTTTCCTAATCTCCAGTAATTTATAGTGATGCTGGAAATTTAAAAATTATTTAAATAACTATAATAATAAAATATCTGAACTTTGAACTTTTAAAAGGTGATATAGGACTTTGGGTAAATATTTTTTTAAAAGGTAATACAAAAATTTCTTTCTTGGCTTCTGGTCAAGATGTTGGAGTAGATAAATGCTGTGCTTGGCTCCTTCTGTGATCTCATCAAAATTATAATTAAATTGAGAACAACCACACTTGAGAACCACCTGAAGACTAGCTGAATAGAATTCTTATAACTAAGAATATCAGGAAGCCACATCAAGACTGGTAGGAGGGTTGAGATGTATAATGGACTAGTCTTACACCCATGTGTGTCAGTTAAGAAATCTGCAGGGATATCTCAGCTGCATTGGTCTCTCAATGATTAAGGTGTCCCAGTCTCACACTGGGTTCCCCACTCCAGGCTCCTCCTCAGCTGAGACCATTAATGCTAAGAAGAGGGGTCTCCACAGCACCTGGCTTTGAAAATCAGTGGGAATTCCATCCAGTGAGTGGGGAGGGCTATTGGAGTCCCAAGCCTTTCGCTTAAACAGTCCACACAGAAACTTACTCATTGACTGATGCACTTACTCTGAGCTCCAGGGCTGGGCAGAAGCTGTAAAAGCATCAGGCACATAAGAGAAGCAACTGAATTGTCTGGCTTCAGGGCCAGAGCTCGAGGAGAAGCTCGCTCCACTATTTTGTTCCTTTGTTTAATCCTCGCCACACAGAGCTGGCAGGAGCAGTTGAACTCCAAACCTGAATCTGCATCAAACTCCCCACACTGATGATTTCCTGAGAACTCATCACAGCCTGTTCCATGCACAGGCTGGAACCTCTCCGTGTGGCCATTATTTACAAGCTGCTTGCCTTGGCCCATGTTGTGGACTTCACTAAAATCTCTCAAAGGACCACAAATTCCAAACAAGCAGTCCCTGGCCTTGGCATGCCCTGTAACTCTTGCTAAGCAACTCCCCGCCTCAGTAGTGGCAGCCAGCCTCAGATCACAGCATAGCTTCTCTTAGGAGCCTCCAAGCAAAGTACAGGCAGCCACCCAAGGTGGCCCCCCCTGGACAAAAGCACCAGCAGATATGGGACTGCACTGGAGTCCTTCCCAAGAGGCTCCAGAGCTGACATGCCCAGAGACAAGCTTCAGACCACATCAGAGCACCACCCAAATAGCTTCACAAATGACAAACCCAAAGGATGGACTCAGCTGGCACCAGAGCCCTGCAACAGCAAATTTCACTCGGTGAGGCTGATGCCCCCAACACAATAGTTTATCCACTGTAGTCATGGCCAATCATATAGCCAGTCAGCCTGAGGGTCAATACCACCCACTGATACAGCAACAGCAATCAAGGCTCAAGTACAACAGAAGGGCACACACAACCCACTTAAGGGACACCTCTAAAGCATGCAGCTCAGGTGACCAGGGAGACTATACTACTGGGCCCCACAGAACAGCAACTACATAAGGTTACCTTGCCAAGACTGGAAGACTTAATAGTTCTACTTAATACACATAAACAAAAACAGACAGGCAGCCAAAGTGAGAAGACAAAGAAATATGTCCCAAATGAAAGAACAGGAATAAATTTCAGAAAAAGAAAGAAACAAAATGGAGGCAAGTAATCTACCGGATACAGAGTTCAAAACACGGGTAAAAAGGATGCTCAATGAATTTAAAAGAAGTATAGATGAACTCAGTGAGAACACCAAAAAAGACAGTAAACATAAAAAATGACATAGAAACCATAAAAAAATTAACTGCAATGAAAAATACATCAGATGGAATTTACAGCTGATTACATGATGCAGAAGATCAATTCAGTGATTTGGAAGACAAGATACTGGAAAACACCCAATCAGAAAAGCAAAGAAAATAAATCCAATAAAAATGAGGATAGCTACAGAACCTCTGGGGGTGACGTCAAACCTAAGAACTTTTACATATAGAGGTACAGGGATGACGAGAGAGAGTGAACAAGCAAGAGAGTGAGCGAGCAAGGCGTTGAAAACCTATTTGAGGAAATAACTATAAACTTCTCTTTCCTGGTGAAGAAAATAAACAAACAAATCTAGGAAGCACAGAGAGCCCCCTGAAAATGACCCCAAAGAGACCCACACCAAGACAAAACATAATTAAAATGATAAAGGTTAAAGACAAAAAAAAAGAAACGTTAAAAGCAGAAAGAAAAAAAAGTAGTTAGTTATGTACAAGGAAATTCCCATAAAACTGTCAGCTAATCTCTTAACAGAAACTTTGCAGGCCAGAAGAGACTACTATAAAATATTCAAAGTAATAAAAAGCAAGAACCTATAACCAAGATTACTCTACGTATCAAGGATATCATTCAGAATCACAGGAGAGGTGAGAACAAGAAATAAATTAGGAGTTTATCACAACCAAAACAGTATTATAAGAAATGTTACAGGGACTTCCTGAAAGAGAAAAAATATATAGATGAATAAGAAAGTGGCAAAACTGCCTACCTATCAATAATTATTTTAAATGTAAATGAATTAAGTGCTCCAATCAAAGACCATAATGTGGCTCAGTAAATAAGAAAACAAGACACATATATGTGACATTAAACTAGAAAGTTTTTGCACAGAAAAAGAAAACCTCATCAATAGCACAAGGACAACCTGATGAATGGGTGAAGATATTTGCCAATGATACATCAAATAAGGGGTTAATATCCAAAATATTTAAGGAACTCATAGAACTTTGCACCAAAAAGACAAAGGATCCAATTAAAAATTGGGCAGAGAGTCTTAATAAACATTTCTTCAAAGAAGACATACAGATAGCCAATATACATATGAAAAAATGGTCAACATCACTAATAAGATACATGAAAATTAAAACCAACTGGAGATATTACCACACACCTGTCAGAATGTCTATCTATCATCAGTAAATCAACAAACAAGTGTTGGTGGGGATGCGAAGAGAAGGGAACCCCGGTGCACTGTTGGTAAGATGGCAAAGTGCTGCAGCCCCTGAGGAAAACAGTATGGAAGGTCCTCAAAAAAACTTAAAAAATGGAAATACCATATGACGCAGCAATCTCACATGTAGCTATTTATCTGAAGAAAGTCAAAACACTAATTTGAAAAGATACATGCATCCCTATGTTCACTGCATCATTACTTACAATGGCCAAGATATGGAAGCAATCATAGTGTCCATTTGTAGGCAATTAGATAAAGAAGAGGTGGTACATACACACCATGAAATATTACTCCACCATAAAAAATAATAAGATTTTTACCATTTGCAATAACATGAAACAATGATTTTCAACCTTTTTCATCTCATGACACACAAACTAATTACCAAAATTCTGTGGCACACCCAAAAGCATTTTTTTTCTGATCTGACCCCCAAAAAAGGTATAATTTTGATTCTTTCATTCCAGATGGCTGTTGTCATTTTTTTCAAATTTGATAATCTAAGGGAAAAGAGGTCAGTGCCCCTGACTGAATAGTCTAGTATTGCATGTTTTAAAAATTCTTGTGGGCTTTTGGCCAAGATGGAGGCATAAGTAGATATGCTTCACTTCCTCACACAACCAAAAGAAGGATAACAATCAATTTATAAATAAAAAACAACCAGAACTGCCAGAAAATCAAATTGTATGGAAGTCTGACAACCAAGGAGATAAAAAAGAAACACTGATCCAGACTGGAAGGTGGGCGAAGATAGACAGCCAAGGAAGAGGGGATCTGCAATGAGGTGGCAGCTGGCAGACCAGGTGGTCCCACATTTGTGTGTGGGTAAAAACCAGGAGGAACAACTGGGGAGTGAGTAGGCCATGCAACCCAGGGTTCTGGTGCCAGGAAAATAAAGCCTTAGGACATCTGACTGTAAAGACTTGTGGGGGTTGCAGTAGCAGAAGAAATTGCCAGTCTCTCGGGAGAGTCCATTGGAGGGTCCCACAGGATGCTAGAATGTACACAAGCCCATCCACCCAAGAATCAGTACCACGGTAGCACCTGGAAGGGCACCATTCACTTGTGGGAAGATGGGGAAGTGAGTGAAAGCGGGTCAAGAGCCAAGCAGATTCTCTGATTCCTCCCCATAACCTCTGGCTATAAAAATCTATGGTCGTTGCGGAGGCAGAAAAACTGCAAGTCTCTCAGGAGAGTCTCTTTGGGGACCCACAGGGTCCTAGAATGTACATAAGCCCACCTACTTGAGAACTCAGCACCAGGGCATCAACTGAAAGGGCACCAGTTGCTTGCAGGAAGCAGGGGAAGTGACTGAAAGCCAGGGGAGAGCTGAGCAAGCAGCATTGTTCCTTCTCTGACCCCCTCCCTCACATAAAGCACCACAACCTGGCAAAGTGGGCTGCCTGCCCTGGCAAACTTGGTTACTTTCCAGTGTAATGGGTACACTGAGACAAAGAAATATGGCCTAAATATAAGAACAGATCAAACTCCAGAGAAAGAACTAAGCGACAAGGAGAGACCCAACCTATCAGATGCAGAGTTCAAAAGAGTGGACATCAGGATGCCCATGGAAATGACTGAGTATGGATGCAAAATAAAGAAAGAAATGAAGGCTATACAAAGTAAAATAAAGAAAAATATATAGGGAACCAACAATGAAGGGAAAGAAAGCAGGACTCAAATCAATGATTTGGAACAGAAGAAAGAAAGAAACATTCAACTGGAACAGAATGATGAAACAATTCAGAAAAATGAGGAGAGGCTTAGGAACCTCTGAGACAACTTCAAATGTTCCAACATCCGAATCATAGGAGTGCCAGAAGGAGAAGAGGAAGGGCAAGAAATTGAAAACTTCCTTGAAAAAATAGTGAAAGAAACTTCTCCAATCTGGTGAAGGAACAGACATGCAAGTCTCGGAAGCTCAGAGAGTCCCAAAGAAGTTGGACCCAAGGAAGCACACACCAAGGTACATCATAATTACATTACCCAAGATTGAAGTTAAGGAGAGAATCTTAAAAGCAGCAAGAGAAAAGACGACAGTTCCCTACAAAGGAGTCCCCATAAGACTGTCAGTTGATTTCTCAAAGGAAACATTACAGGTAAGAAGGGGCTGGAAAGAAGTATTCAAAGTGATGAAAAGCAAGGACCTACATCCAAGATCACTCTATCCAGCAAAGCTATCACTTAGAATGAAAGGGCAGATAAAGTGCTTCCCAGATAAGGTCAAGTTAAAGGAGTTCATCATTATCAAGCCCTTATTATATGAAATGTTAAAGGGACATATCAAAGAAAAAGAAGATCAAAAACTATGAACAGTAAAATGACAACAAACACAACTATCAACAACTGAATGTAAAAAAAAAAACAACCCAAAAACTAAGCAAACAACTGAAACAGGAACAGAATCACAGAAATGGAGATCACATGGAGGGTTATCATTGGGGTGGGGGAGGGGAAGAATGGGGGAAAAAGGCACAGGAAATAAAAATCATAATTGATAGGCACAAAACAGATTGGGGGCAGTTAAGAATAGTATAGAAAATGAAGCCAAAGAACTTATAGGTATGACTCATGCACATGAACAAAAGGGGAAGATGCAAAAAAAAAAAGGGGGGGGTGCAGGGTGGAGGAGGATAAAGGGGAGAAAAGAAATGGGACAACTGTAGTAGCATAATCAATAAAATATACTTAAGAGAATAAAAAAAAATATATAAATTCTTGCACCGTACCAGTTAAAAATTGCTGGCATAGATGGACCTAGAAGGTATTGTACTGAGTGACATAAGTCAGAAAGAGAAAGGCAAATAACATGATTTTACCTGTATTTGGAATCTAACAAACAAATGAAAAAGAAACTAATAGGTTCAGAGAACAAACTAATTAATGGTTGCCAGCAGTGATGGAGGGGAGAGGCGGGTAGTAAAACAGTGAAGAATTAAGAAACACAAATTGGTAGTTACAAAATAGTCATGAGGATAAAATGCAGCATAGAGAATGCAGTCAGTAATACTGAAATAACTGTGCATGGTATCAGGGGTATACTAGCTTTATTGGGGCTATCACTTTGTGATTTATATGAATCTCTTCCCACTATGCTGTATACCTGAAACTAAGACAATACTGAAAGTCAATTGTAATTGAAATATAAAGTTTATAAAGCAATGACAATTTTTCTGAAATTTGATATTTTACTATTTGGTTATTAAGAATTCCTGCTATAGAGCTGGTTACTATTTTAAGCAAAACAAGGATTCTTCAATTAAATAAGTAATTTAAAATAGACAATTAATGGGATGATTGAACACACAGTGGAATCCTTTTGTAATATAGTTTTTGAAGAAGACAATTTAAATTTCTAAATTTATACGTTTTATAATATTATTTCAGTTCAAATGCTTAATCCAAGTTAGAAATAGACAAAATAAAACTCTTTCCTAACAATTATATGCTACCAAAATAAAAGCAGCTCAAGAAGAAAAAAACTACATGTTATATGCTATATAGTTTTGGAACAGAGAGACACCAAGATTTCCTAATTTTTACTGTAAGTAATTGGATCCATTAAATAATCATTTAGGCATGAGTATTATAAAAATCTTGCTGGCATGATTTAAGAGTCACATTAAAAATCCTTATATTTGACCAAATTTCCTATTTCCTCTTTTGTGAGAAACTTTTCCCCAATATAATTTTTCTATCACTATATATTTTCCAGCCCTTTCTCTTTTTCAACCCTCCACATTCAGTACTTAAAGTTAAAAAAATATGCAACGCATCATGTTTCCACCAAAATGGTTTGCTCTGACCAATTTTTCATTATAAACATAAAACAATGATAGGTAGATTACTACTAAATTTTAAGAGTAAGTGCTATACAAAACTAAATTCAGAGCAGCAAAATTAATTTCATGAGGGAGCACTTTACCTTGTTATCAAAATCGAAGTCTTCATCATCTGATATCGGCCATGAATCATCAATGCCAGGTTTGCTGGACAGCCTTTAGAGTAAAAATAGCCAACAAAAATAAGTTAATTCTTGAACTTAGTCCTGAAGACTGAATTAAAAATCCAATAAATGGCTGACATAACTTTTGATTCTTGAACTGGAAAAGATCTGATGATCTGAATCAAGGTGGAAAGACAGTTTCTTCTCCATCGTCTGTCCCTGATTCAAAAACTAATCTATGTCCGTCAAAAATAGCAGTCTAGGTTCTTTAGGAAGGAACTTATTAAGGTGACTCCATTTCTTCCTTTCACCCTAAAACAGTACAGGGAGTTCCTTGAAATATTTAGAAGTTAAATGTCAAAATGTCAAAGAACAAATGTATAAGGTATTAGCCTTCCCAGTCCCAGATCACTCTTTTACATGCTCCAGGACCATCTCCAATCTTCAACTCTTCAGCCTATGACGGCACAGACTCTTAAAACAAGGATGGGTTCAAATGACCAAGAGTAAGAGCTATTTCCCTACTCCTAGAAAATAAGCTAAATGGAGTCTGCCATCCGCTCCTAACATAGGCATATTATCAACTACCCAACTCTATTAGTGATTTGACAGACATTCTCACCCCATTCCTACATGGGAAGGACATTAGTTAATTGGGAAAAGAGGCAGGATGAGGAGACACCTGCCTTGGGCCACAGATCCACATAGTTCAGCAATCTCCAGTCTCCCACAACTTGAAAGCATCTAAACCCCATTCTGTAAGTTGGGGTTCAGATAAGTAATACCACAGTCCTGTTTGCAATAAGGAGAATCTTTCCAAATTATTTTAATACCTTTCAATAGAAACCTCAAATTTTGCTAGTTTTTCCAATTAAGCAAATGAACAAAAGAGCAGTAACCTCTGCAGGACTCTCTTGAAAACTTTATTTTAATTTGCCTTTCTAGAAAACTCCCAACATCTTGTGGCCTTCCTTTTTGTAACTTATCTTTCACTTGTCATGAAACCCCAAAATTCTGACCTATTTTCCTTATATGCTTTCTCATCTCTTTTCTAAAACTCTCATTCCTATCTCAACCAAGTGTTGTTCCTCTTGGTTTTCCCTGCTAATTCTATCTTCTTCCACTGCATTCACTAAACCCAGTCCCTACTAGGCTTAGAAACCTGAATTTACATCTCACTTTCACCACTTACCATATCCAAATAAGTTATTTTAATTTGAGTTTTGAATTCTCCATGTGAGCAACCAGTCTGCCAGGATGTTAAACACAGGCTAAAGTACTAGAAGGTGTTTTGACTGATTGCTAAGATTCCTTAATGTGTTCTTGATTCTATCTATAGAAAAATGGAGAACACATATCTGGCAGAAGTGGAAAAAACTAACACAATGAGAGAAACTCCAAAAAAGGCAGAGAAGAAAGTTAAAAATCCAAAAAAGTTGACGAAAAAAGGACTCCAAGAAAAAATCTTCATACAATTAGGCAAAGTTTCTGGCCTCAAGGAAAAAGCAGACTGGGAAGTCAGTGAATAGAGAAATCAATTAGAAATATCCTTTAAATAGATGATGAATTTAATGAACATAACATGGTCTATACATAGTCTTCACTTACAAAAAAATAATTTATATCAAGAAGAATAGATATCATTATGCTTAAAAATACTTGCCAGATGAAGCCTTCCTTAGGTAAAAGCCTATGGTTATGTGGCCATAGTTAACTGAGATGTGCCCTACTCTTTTTTGGGAAAAACAAGGTACTGGTTACCACTGCAATTGTCAAGTATTTTAGGACAAATGCTTGGACTAACTGGGTTTCTTAGGAAAACTCTAAATCAGAATTATCACACAACTAGATTTGACTTTCTAAGGTGAACTGATTTGTATCCACATCCCAATGCAAGCGCTACATAGAAACTTATCCGTATCCATGGAGGGACAGCAGAATAGATTTGGGAACTAACCAGGATAACACTCAAATCATGGGTCAGCCACTTGTTAATTATGGAATCATGGGTAAATTAATCAACCTCCCTGAACCACAGTTGCCTAATAAAAAGTAGGCTATAAGAGCACAGCTACTCTGCAAAGCTATTGTGATGACTACATAACACATGTTAATTACATAATATAGTGTCCAGCCCAGGGCAAAACACTCAAGAAATGTTCATTTCTTTTCTCTACATTCCCTTAGTTAACATATAGTTTTTAGAAATCCATAAAGTCCTACCTGCTTAAAGAGTCTTCTTCAGACTTCTCGCTCACTATTAAAAAAAAAAAAAAAAGTAAAATACATTTTAAATCAACAACGGAAAAATACAGAACTTTAAAAGTACCAGACTGATGCTTCATTAGAAAGTATGACTTTGGGACCACACCTGAACACTACACTACAGTGAGTATGGATGATTCTATTAGTAGGCAATTAATACACTAACAACGTTTACTTATCTCTCCTCCTTTACATATATCAAAAGCAAGAAAAAATGACATCTATAATAATTTGATATTTACAAGTGAACTGCTATTTATAATGATCATAATCCTAACCAAACCCCATCAGACCAACAGAAAGTAGTATCACTAGTGAAGTCAATATCATAAACTAACAATGTCAGACTAAAATAGGATGATTTTTCTGGACTCCTACCATTAGGAGCAGTTAAAAGAGAGTGTACTTATTTTGCTGGAACACAATACAACTTCTCTAGCTCTTCAGTGAAAACTATCCACTTTATCACAAGGGAGCCTGGTCTACAGTCAATACACTTTGCGCACAGCAAAACGTAGCTAACAGACTCTTTCTGGCCCTATTTCCAATTGCAGGATAAGAATGACAGACTTTGATATTCTAGTTTTATAAAGTACACCCCCTTGAGACAGTCTCCTTCCATTGCTAGTGTACCTGGACCCACCTCAGAGAGCAGGATGGTCCTACAGTGCTGTGCAGTAGTGTGTGATGTCATTTTTTAAAACCCTCCCCAGTACGTGGCAAATGCTTATAGAAATCATGCTTTTTCAGCTTGTAAGGCATATGTCATCAGATCCAATGCTGATAAACAACAACAACCCATAAAGGACAAAAACATCTTGGATAACTACATTCAACTACCTTGGAATGTTAAATTTTTTAAACATTCAAAAAAAACCCCTACAGTATGATTCCAACTATACAAGATTCAGTAAAAATATCAGTGGTTTCCAGAGGTAAGGGGGAAGGGTAGTATGAATAAGCAGAGCACACAATATTTTTAGGGCAGTGAAATGACTCTATATGATATTGTAATGGTGGATACAGGTCATCATACATTTGTCAAAGCCCATAGAATGTACAACACCAAGAGTGAACCTTCATGTAAACTATGAACTTTGGGTGATAATGATGAGTCATTATTTGGGCTGATGAGTTATACCTGTCATTGAATTTGCTTTTCTCGATACTTGTTTTGGAGATTCCTGTAGATCTATATCCACTTGAATAAAGGCATAAAAGGGATAAATGAAACAATCATGTCAGAAAATATGCGAAACCCAGAACAATCCTATTTTAATCAAAATAAAAAATAAAGAATTCTAGTTTGGTGGAGGTATATTCTTTTAGCCTTCTTTTGTCTGGGAAACTCCTTATTTTGCCTTCCATTTTAATTGAGAGTTTTGCAGGGTTCAGCAGTGTTGGCTGCAGGCCTTTGCTGTTCATGACTTGGAATATTTCTTGCCATTCCCTTCTGGCTTGTAGTGTTTCTGTTGAGAAGTCAGCTGCTAGCTGTACCGGGACTCCCTTATATGTTATTACCTGTTTCTCCCTTGCTGCTTTTAAGATTCTCTCTTTGTCTTTGATATTTGCCATTTTAACTATGATGTGTTTTAGAGTGGGCCTCATTGAGTTCCTCTTGAATGGAACTGTCTGTGCTTCCTGGACTTGTGTGACTTTTTCTCTCCTCAAATGAGGGAAGTTTTCTATTGTTACTTTTTCAAACAGGTTCTCTATCTCTTGCTCCTCTTCTTCTCCTTCTGGTATCCCTATTATATGGATATTATTACGTTTCATGTTGTCCTGCATTTCTCGAAATGCCTCTTCATTCTTTTTGAGCCTGTAAACAATGGATAGATCTTCCAAACAAAATATCAACAAGGATATTGTAGAACTGAAAGACGCATTAGGTTAAAGTGGACTTAACTGACATATATAGAACCTTTCACACCAAAGAAGCAAAAAATACATTCTTTTCAAATGCACATGGAACATTTTCAAAGACAGACCACATGATAGGACACAAAGCAAGCCTCAACAAATTCAAGAAAACTGAAATCATGACAAGCATTTTCTCGGAGCACAAGGGCTTGAAAGTAGAAACCAACCTCAAGGAAAAAAAACTCAAAAGCATTCAAACTCATGGAGACTGAAGAGCATGCTATTAAACAATGAATGGGCCAATAATGAGATCAAAGAAGATATCAAAAAGTTTCTGGAAAAAAATGAAAATGAACACACAACAGTCCAAAACCTACGGGACACAGCAAAGGCAGTCCTGAGAGGGAAGTTCACAGCAATACAGGCCTACCTAAAAAAGACAGAAACATTTCAAATAAGCGACCAAACCCTACAGCTTCAAGAACTGGAGAAACAACAACAAACAAAGCCCAGAGCAGAGTAGAAGGAAGGAAATAATCAAGATCAGAGAAGAATTGAATGACAGAGAGACTAAAAGAACAATTCAAAGAATCAACAAATCCAGGAGTTGTTTTTCTGAAAAGATAAACAAAAGCAACAAGCCTTTAAGCTGACTCAGAAAGAAAAAAAGGGAGAGGACCCAAATAAATAATATCAGAAATGAAAGGAGAAATTACAACTGAAACCACAGAAATGCAAAAGATTGTAAGAAATTACTATGAACAATTATATGCCAAGAAATTTGAAAACCTGAGTGAAGTAGACAAATTCCTAGAAAAATATCACCTTCCATCACTTAATGAAGAAGAAGCAGAAAGCCTGAACAGACCAATAACAGCTGGGGAAATTGAAGCAGTAATCAAAAAAACTCCTGGCACACAAAAGCCCTGGATTTGATGGTTTCACAGGAGAATTTTACAAAACATTTAGGGAAGAGCTAACCCCTTCCTTCTTGAACTATTCCAAAAAATCCAAGAAGAGGGAAGCCTCCCAAACTCTTTTTATGAAGCCAGCATCACCCTAATCCCAAAACCAGATAAAGATATAACTAAAAAAGAAAACTACAGGCCAATATTGCTAATGAACATAAATGCTAAAATCCTCAAAAAAAAAAAAAATTGGCAAACTGCATCCAGCAAAACATTAAAAAGATCATCCACCATGATCAAGTGGGATTCATCCCAGGGATGCAAAGGTGGTTCAATATTCGCAAACTAATAAATGTAATACATCACATCAACAAAAGGAAAGACAAAAATCACATGATTATATCTATAGATGCGGAAAAAGCATTTGCTAGGTACAACATCCATTTATGATAAACACATTCAGCAATGTGGGAATAAAGAAGGCATACCTCAACATAGTAAAGACCATATATGAAAAACCGACAGCCAACATCGTTCTCAATGGGCAAAAACAAAAAGCTTTCCCACGAAGACTGGGAACAAGACAAGGTTGTCTGCTTTCACCACTTTTATTCAACATAGTATTGGGAGTCCTAGCTACAGCGATCAGACATGAAAAAGAAATAAAAGGCATCCAAATTAGAAAGGAGGAAGTAAAGCTGTTCATTGTTTGCAGATGACATGATAGTGTACATAGAAAACCCCATAGACTCCACCAAAAAATACTTGACCTAATAAGTGAATTTGGCTAAACAGGGGGATACAAAGTCTATGGAATTTCAGAAATCAATGGCATTTTTGTACACCAACAATGAAATATCAGAATCAGAAATCAGGAAAAAAAAAAACCCATTTGCTATAGCAACAAGAAAAATAAACTACCCAGGAGTAAACTTAACCAAGGAGGTAAAAGACCTATACTCAGAAAATTATACAACACTGAAGAAAGAAATTAAGGCCATGACACAAATAAGTGGAAGTATATACCGTGTTCATGGACTGGAAGAATTAACATTATAAAAATGTCCATATTACCCAAAACAATTTATAGATTCAACGCAATCCCTATAAAAATACCAATGATGTATTTCACAGATATAGAACAAACATATCAAAAATTTATATGGATCCATAAATGACCCCAAATAGCTGCAGCAATTTTGAGAAAGAAGAATAAAGTAGGAGGGATCACAATATCTGACATCAAGCTATATTACAAGGCCACTGTAATCAACACAGTCTGGTACTGGCGTAAGAACAGACACATAGATCAATGAACAGAATAGAGAGCCCAGAAATAAACCCATGTCTCTATGGTCAATTAATATTCGAGAAAGGGGGCAGAAGTATAAAATGGAGTAAAAATAGACTCTTCATTCAACAAATGGTGTTGGGAGATTAGGCCAGCTTCATGCAAAAAAAATGAAATTTGACCACCTACTTACGCCATACACAAAAATACACTCAAGATGGATAAAAAGACTTATAAGTCTCAACACCATAGAAGTCCTAGAGGAGAACATAGGTAGGAAACTCTCAGATATTCCACACATCAATATTTTCACCGATAATGTCCCCTAGAGCAAGGGACATAAAAGAAAGAATAAATAAATGGGAGGACTTCATCAAAATAAGAAGCTTCTGCACAGCTAAAGAAAACATCAGCAAAATGAAAAGGGAACCAACCGTACAGGAAAATATATTAGCCAATAATACCTCGGACAAGGGTTTGATCTCTAAAATATATAAAGAACTCACATGACTCCACACCAGGAAGACAGACAATCCAATTAAAAAATGGGCAAAGGACCTGAACAGACACTTCTCCAAGGATATACACAGGGCTCAGAGACATATGAAAGGATGCTCAGCATCCACAGCCATCAGAGAAATGCAAATTAAAACCACAATGAGATACCACTTCACACCAGTCAGAATGGCCATCAAAGACAAATCAACAAACAACAAGTGCTGGCAAGGTTGTGGAGAAAAGGGAACCCTAGTACACTGTTGATGGGAATGCAGACTGATGCAGCCACTGTGGCAAACGGTTTGGAATTTCCTAAAAAAGCTAAAAATAGAACTGGCTTTTGACCCAGCAATTCCACTGCTGGGATTATACCACAAGAATCCCGACACAATTCAGAAGAACCTATGCACCCCAATGATCATAGCAGCACACTTTACAACAGCCAAATGCAGGAAGCAATCTCAATAAACGAATGGATCAATAAATGAATGGATAAAAAAACTACGGTACATTTACACAATGGAATACTACACAGCAGAAAGAAAGAAGGAATTTCTACCCTTCACGACAGCAATGGATGGAACTGGAGAGCATTATGCTAAGCGATATAAGACAGAGGGTAAAAAACAAATACCATATGATCACACCTATAAGTGGAACCTAATGAACAAAACAAACAAGCAAGAAAAATATAACCAGCAACACTGAAAGAAAAAACAAACTGACAATAACCAGAAGGGAAGGAGGGGTGTAATGGGGAAAAGAAGGGGAAGGGTCAGGTCAAGGAACATGCATAAAGAACTCAGGGACAAAGCCAAAGTGGGGAAGGATTGAGGGTGGGAGGTGGTTGTGGCTGGGGCAGGGGAAAGTGGTGTTGGGATGATGGAGACAAATGTATTTGAAACAATAAAAAATATATTCTAAAAAATAAAGAATTCTAATGACTGTCAATATGTTCTATGGTATGAAACATCCTATAAAGAAAATAAAAACATGACTGTTAATCTTCTCCAACTAAGGAGTATTTAATTTCTTTTTATAATAGCTGTGAATCAATCACTTAGGATGACTACAGAAAAACTTATAATTATCATATGTAGTATAACAGTGAACTAGTGATTGTAGAGTTCTTTTTCTTTGTTCCTAATTTCTTTTTTCTTAATTTCTTATTAAACTAAAAATATAGCTCATCTATTACAGGTATTTGTTAACAGGACAAGCCAAAAAGTCAAAGTAATTGCCTACAAAATGTACATAAATTATCCATGGATATCTCATCAAGCTCAACATGTATGGAAAAAAACTGATCTTCCCTGTTGACCTGCTGCTCTTCCCTGTCCTTCTGATAAAGTCCTATTCTTTACGCCCAATTTAAATGCTAGTGCACAACCTGCAAAGCTATGAATCATCTTAGATTTCTCTCTCCCTGCTAACTTTTTAAATTCAATCATCATTAAATCATACTAACCAGACCTCTTTCCTTTCGCTGCTTTATTTTGTCACTGCCTGTGCCCTAGTCAATCCTGGACTCTAACAGATGGCTTTCAGAGGGAAAAAAACACTGTCAACTACTATTACTATTCCTTAAATGAGTAAGATTTCTTTAAGTAAAATAAATTAAAAACATGTAGGCCTAGAAACAGACCACATTTTAAATTAAATAAATAAAGCTTCCTGATTTTTTTTATTTCAGTATGAACAGGTGAAAACTTCATAATGATCTGATGCTAGTGCAAGAAAAATTCTACCCACTTTTTTAAAACCCTGATTCCCCATTGTGCACTTATGGTGTATAGCACATAATATGCACCAATAAAAAAGAATATATAATGATAATTATAAGCCCCTAGTGGGTTCTGTCACCTAGTAAGCACTGAATAAAGTATAGTAATAAAAATGACAATAATAACAACCTCTTAAAAGACAGGGACTGTGTTTTTAAAATGTTTATATTTTGCAATATTGGAATAACAGCACCTAAGCCCCTGGACAGTTAAATAGCAAACCATTAAACAGACAAAAGAACACATGATTTTTGAAATTTTCTTTGAAAATTCTGTTTTTAAAAAAACACAGAAATAAAAGAGACAGCTCTATGATATTATGAGCACCATAAAGATCAAAACCCTATTTCATCTTTGTGTTTCTTGTAACTTGCAAAACCAGCCTACGCAAGTACTTTGATAAAGGTCTAAGTCAAAGGTGTCCTCATACAGTTCAGCCTGCATAATGTACTAAGTGCCACATCCAGGTAGCACACTAGTGTTTTTTTTTATTGTGAAACATTTTTGTACTTTTATTATAATGTGTTGAGTCCTTAGTTGGGCTATTTGAATATTTATTACAATTATCTTTTGACCAATATAACAGAGAATCTTATTCTAAAGAAATTACAGTGTCATGACAATTACCCAACAAAAGAAGGAAACTCTTCTTGTTCTAATGAAGTCAATGTATCTCATTCTGTTTTGACCTAAGAGAAATTACGCTGATAATAATGAGAACTTGCTGGTATAATAATAAGTAAAATAACCTATGCTTCTCAGCAAGGCATTGCTTTTCAGACTTCTGTACTATGGGTAGATAGCTTTAAAAAACAATCTCATTGGGAATGCTGCACCCCGGCTAAGTTTTATAGTTCTTATTGTTTGCCATTTGTTTGTGGTACTAAGAAAGTATTGTTGAGTTCCTAGTTTTACTTACTTTTTTAGGGAGACAAATCAGGATATAATAACAAGTATTCATTTACTAAATGTAATCCATTTGTTGTAAAAACTAAGGAACCATTTTTATAACAAGTCTAATTTATTATTATGTGATTATAGAGGAAACATACAACATCTTAACTTTAAAATCTTTTTTCTTTCTTACATAAAGATATCATATGAAATTTTAGGGGTCATGACTAAATAAATGAAATTCTTTTCAGGCAGTATTGCCCTGGATTTTAAATGATCTATAATTAACTTTTTAAATAATACCGAATATTATTCTATTAAAGAAATTAAGAAAAATTGTACATGCAATTTATACTTCTCTTTCACTGCTCTTTCATTATGAAAACTTCTTTACTCTTATTTATCTATGGTAGGACTACCAAGACTAATTCACTATCAAATGTCTTACCAATACTTTTGCTACTTTCAGAACACATTTTAGGCCTCCTTTCTTCTTTGTACTCAGAAGTTAGCTGATGATTGCTGTGTATAAAAAAAATGGTGATAAATAATATTAGTATCTTAATACTGATATCAAAAATATTTTTCAAATATATTAAATTCTTAGAGTATTTCAGATATCTGAGCTATTAAAACTTTATACCATACACTTCAAATTTGTAAATTCTACACACTTTTTAAGAAACATCAAACAGTTTCAGTCACAGTTAAGTAACATCAAACAGTCATGATTTGAGGGCAGTACAGTCTTGTAAATTAGAGTTAGTTTGACAAAATGGCAAGTGTCTTGAACTCAGAAGTCCTACCTCTATAACCAATAGCTATTGTTCTCAAACAAACACTTCTCTTTGGCTCAAATTCCTCCTCTGCAAGATGAAAATCTTAGTGTCTTACTCTACAAGGTTATTAGGATGACTGACTAAATGACATAATAAACCAAAACGAGATGCTCCAAGAACCAGTATAGCGAAAGAAAAATCTGTTCATGAACTTTATCCATTGAACCTATTATGGAATCCCAAATAAACACCAATGTGGGTTTTTCATTGTTTCTAACAATCAAATGTTGTGGTTTTCAGAAAATATAATTAATTTAGTTATTAGCTGCCCCTTTGTGGTTTGTAATTCAGGGCATCTTAGCTATTATATAACTTGCAACTAAATTTACTTAGAAATATATTACTTATTTAATTAGGTGACATAATATTCCCCTGTTATTATAGCTCATCATACCAAACAGCAGAAAACTAATAGAAGTCAGGACCTGGCCTGGACTACTAGTATCCCTTCTCTACCTGCTTAAACTTTGAACCAGCAGGTCTTTATAAGAATGATGCTTAATCTCCCTGTTTACCCCCAATTGACTCGGAAGATACAATCCTACTTGTCACACATGGACACTGATGAGTCATGGATGGGGCCTTAGCAATTCTAATGTCCAATAACCTACTTTTCATTCAGAGATTTCTGTTGACTGACTTGAAACATGAGGTGAATTCAAGTCATTGGGAAAGTTTTCATTATTATGGAAACCAGATGACTATTTAGGGGCCAACCTTGACTAATGAATCTCCGGCAAGTTGGTGTCTACTATTCTGGGAAAGGTGATATGGGGCCTTCCTTGACCTAAACAAAGATGCTCTATGGGATGGAAAGTGGCCTTGGGGTACAATCTGGTAACAAAGAAGAAAGGAAAGTCTGATCTTTTCCTGCAGCGTTATTTGAATCTCTCTGACAGCTTAGAATAATTCCAACTAACACCCACTAGCAGAAAAAAAATACGAAATGCTCACAGGATAACTAGTGCCCAAAGGTCTGGACTAAGTTGTGAGTCCCACATAGGTTTTTGACTGTGGGAGGAAGGCTGTGGGCGGCTAAAAGCAGGAGACCCAGCTGTCAGAACAAGGTGCTAGTAATCAGAATAAGGGCTGAGCATACAAGCCTATGTATGTAAACTAAAAAGAAAAAGCTAATTTTCAAGTCCAAGTGTAGATTAACATGAAGACTCAGGAATCTGGATCAGCAAGGGCAACCTAGGAGCAAAAATCAATCATGACTATAAGACCAGTTTCAAGAACAACTCTGCAGCAATAGAATCAATGGAAACAACAAAATGATTAGTCTGTCTTTTTTTACTTCTCCATCAGACTTGTGAAAGAGACTTGTATCCTTTGGACTATGGAATGCTTTAGGTTCTTAAAAAATTCAAGGGAAAGAGTACAAGAGATAGCTCCCAGAAAATACACAATTTTCTGCTAAACGGAACATTTCAAGACCCCAAATAACTATTTAGAAGAATCAGAGATGTGACATTATTTGTACCCCATGCATAGAGGTTCTACATAGAATGAAATGGATAACATTAGGATCCCTAAAGACACAGATCTTAAAAAGTTCTGAGATAAAGAATCTGGTCCATTGCTACTTCTCACTAGTCTAATCTTTTGCTTGATTAGTGGCTGCTGTCACAGACTAATTCACTGCCATTCCCAAACTGCCCGAACCAAACTATGAAATCTCACCTGTTACATAAGAAGTAATGGTTAAATTATTTTAAACCTCAGTTTAGTGATAACTAGCATTTAATGCAAACAATTACAAATTAAAACCACTAACAAAAGCATCTTCCTCTGCAGTCCATCCATTGTTATTCTGAGAAAAAACATCAATGCTTGCTGAAGAGAAAGCCTGGCTCTATTTGCGGACTCATCATTTACAGCAAGCATGAGGGCTGTGCTGTTATAACACAGGGATAAACGTGGCCCTCAGGAACTTCAATTTAGTTATTTTAACAGCTAATTTAACAGAGTTACCAAGTTAATACTGTGTTTATCTGTATAGAATTGACTATTTACAAGCTGAAGTATTCATCACTGTAAATTACTTCCCAGGCTAAAATGAAGGGTCAAAAAGAAAGCCTTTTGTGCCACTTGGGTATTACACAGTAGAATTTGCTAATTTAAAGTCCTCAAACAGATAAGAAACTGCTGAGGTCATTAATCTGAAGTAGGTGAAGATTTAAATGAAGAACTTCCTGTTTTATCCTTAGTCTGATATATTGTACTTCAAAGTCAGCTACAAGTCAGTTAAGTAAAAGCTACTTGGCAGGCTTAAAAACAGTGATGTCAATAATAATTATGATAATAATAGTCATAGTGTTATTGATGCTGATAAGCAAGAGCTAGGCACTAAATTAAATGCTAGATAATCTTACACACGACCACCCTTGAAAGATACATTAGTATTATCTTTTTCATATCAGGGACATATTTGGGGATGATAAGTAGTGTTGCCAAGGTCACACATCTGGCAGGTAGGAAAACTGGGCATTAAACCCAATCTCATATGACCTGAAAGTTTACCTTTATTTCTTTATCATCCACCTATGACTAGTCTTCATTAAAGAAGTTTATTCAATTAAAATTATATTTCTTCCTTCTACCCATACCAATTAGAAATAAAAACACCCAAACACACTAGAAATGAAAAAGGATAAAAACTGATGAATCTAGAGCATCCGGTAGCAGTAATTCATAGCCACTTAAGGATAACCTAACAATACCAGTATTCATCAAAGAAAGAAATTTAAAGCAAAAAGTCGTCCAAAAGACAAAGTCAACTCCTACTTATTTTTAATATACATCTTTTGAGAAAAACTATATACAAAATAAAGGTTAAAAAAACTGTAAGGGAGACTAAGTCCAATATTATATCATAAAATTAAACAGAGTCCATACAATATAAAACTAATAAAATTAATATGAAACCCCTCTAGCTAATATAAGATCATATGACCAAAAAATTCAGATTGCAAATGAAATCACTCAATATGATAAATGAATATGAAACCTGTGGTATACTGTTCTTCCAGTTGCCCAGTCAGAATAATTGCTTTTCCACCTAATTGATTATGTTTTGATATTTTTCACTATGTAAGTTAATCATCTTCTTACTAATTTAATCTTTCTGACTTGAGTGACTATTCCACTCAAAAACAATACAAAGATTTAAAAAAAATGAACTGTACCTTTCCAAATGATTGACTTTTGCACCTCTGTTTACTAAAAATTCCACCATTTGCTTTTTGTTTTCACTTAGAGCAAGTGAAAGTGGCGTAAGGTCATCCTGTAAAGCAGCAAAAACAATTGATAATTTATAAAATAGCATACTGATATATCCAAACTAAAGTTTAAAACTTACAAAAGATCCTCTGAACTTAAACATATAATATAGAAAGTAAATAAAAGTAGCCCCTTCTACCTTGACTGGTGTAACAGTTGATTGGGTGTCATCCCACAAAGAGAAAGGTCACTGGTTCAATTCCTGGTTAGAGTGCCTAGGTTGTGGGTTTGGTCCCCAGTCATGACATGTATGAGGGGCAACAGACATGTTTCTCATGCCAATGTTTCCCTCCCTCTCTTTCTCCCTCCCTTTCCTTCTCTCTAAAACCAAATAAATACAATATTTTCAAAAGAAAAAATAAAGGAGCCCCTTCATTCTCACCCCTGTGCTATCACTGGCTGCTCTTTCTCTTTAAAATGCCCTCCTCTCCCTCTTCAATAGACTAACTGCAACATCATTCTCCAAAATTAACTTTAAACATTTACAGTGCTGGTTCCAAGAATCTTTGTTCCTATCACAGTATCTATCATGATATACTGTCATTACTTTATTGCTTCCCATTCAAACCAAGAGCTTCTTCAGGGCTGAAGCTATTTTTTGATCTCTGTATCTCCAAACTATAAAACATAGTAGTAAATGCTTTTAGTATTTTTATTGGATTAATAATCTAAATAATTAACTCTAGAGTAGTATTTCTTAATTATATTTCAAAGAATATGTACTTTACCAGAAGTTCAGTAATATGCACCAAAAGAGATAGGATCCAGAAAGATCACCTGTGTTTAAGAAATACTACAAAACTGTGCATTGTATAACCAGTTCTAAAGTAATGTTTAATTTTGCTTAATCCCAATTTGTTGCTTTCTGTGGCAAACATCAACATTTGCAAATTAGAGTTTGAGGGATACAGGTTTGAGAGCTTTTCAACAGAGGTGAAGGTTTCCTCCAGGTCACACATACTTGCTTGACTCTCTCCTACCAAAGCTATCAGGGTCCCGGATGTCAACGTCAGTCACTCCTGCTCCAAAAGGGTTTCTAAAAAAATGGACTCTAACTTAAAAGAGATAGGCTACAAATGCACTTTGATTGCTTACTACTAAATGGTCCGCGGGTTTTCTTCTGTTATGAGATGATAGGTTTTCATCTTAGCTCTTTGAAACCTCAATGTAAAACTATATTCTCAATTATGTTGAAAATCCTGGGATCCTAGTGAATATGTACTTTTAAAAGAACTTTTTTTTTCCTGATTCCATTTTAATTGCCCATATTATTTTCTATTTGTGGCAAAATATAAGTCAGAAATAAAAATATAATGACTTAAAAATTTTAACACTGATCTATACAAGTTATTTTCAGCACAATGAAAGCTACTTGCATTTCTGAGTAACAAGACTAAGGAAAAAGATATACTATTATATGGAATAGGCATACCCTATTCAACTCTAATCATGATTAACCTCATAAGACTTATAGACATTCCAATGAGAATATGACAGGATAGTAAGAAGCTAGGGAAATCCCTGGGCAAGCAGAATGGAGAAACTGAGGCAATAAAATTAAACAAGGCCAAACAGTTTGAGCAACTTATAGCAAGCTGGTGAATCACAAGGCCTTATCTCCCCTAACCAGAGAATATGTAGCTGAAATCTTCCTGGTCTGGGAAATAGAGAACAGAGACCCAATTAATGCTGTTTGTGCCAGCTAAACCCAAGGACAGATGAAGTCAGGGGAACAAACAAAACCTCATTAAAAGCCAGAAAGGCCCAGGATAAAAGTGAAACGGTATAGCAGACCAAAGACTATTCCCAAAACCCTCCATACGCTCATTTTGATATCATCAGTGTATTAAAAACGCACACCGAAAGGTGATGAATATTCTATTGAAACCGTCCCCTAAGATTCTCGCAAGCATTAAAAAAAGATAAAAAGCCCTTAGGACAGACCTAGTGTGGGCTCACTCTAGAGCACGCCCATGCCCCTTCCCGGGCATGAACTTTTTACTTCTTCCTAAACGCTAAGGATCCCCACAAGACTTGCCGCCAGGGGAGCAGCTGGCAGTGGCAGCTCAACCCAGGCTTTCTCCCCGATCCTGTCTCCAAGCCCCCTTTTTCTCTGACTCCCCAGTGAGCTGACAGCTGCCCTGCCTTGGCTCACTCCTTTCCTATAACATTTCTAGGGAGCTAAAGCAGAGCACCGCCTAGGCTCTCTCCTGTTGCTTCTTCTACCCTAAGTCCTTCCTTTGTTTCACTGTCTGCAGCTTTAACAAACGTACTCTCAAAATCACCTGGATTCATGTTGTAAAATCTTTCCTACATAAAGTCAAGAACTACACAGTTCCAGCTGGCCTGGGGCAGACCTGCTCCAGGCTGGTCCCTGTGCAGTAATAAGAATATAATTATTTATAGGACATCTAAAGGATGAGTTTTTTTAAAACAACAACATACATTCTAACTTGAAAAATTCAGCCCCATTCTTAAAAGATTAATATAAAATATGTATTATAAATGAATGCGGGTGGTCTTGAAAATCTTGACATCTTTAATAAAATAAACTATAAAACAGGAATTGTAAACTTAAGTGCTTACGGAAGCAAAGTAGGTGACCCAAGTTAAGTGGAGAATCTAGGTGAGGATGGCAGCAAACTAGAGAACCCATGTCTTATAGGAAGGGGGCAGCCTCTGCACAGGAGAGCAAGCAGCAAGAGGGGCTTATAGGTGCCAGGTTAGATTCTTTAAGAGAAGCTTGAAATCCAGATTTCCACATGAGTCTCCTAAATTTAAATGTTGACTCAATTTATGGAAGCAAACTAAACATATTCAGGGCCCACATTCAGTCTAGAGTCCACTGGTGTATTTTAGTTGCTGTATTTTTTAAATGGGTGTGTATAAAGCAAATATATATATATTTAAAACCATTCTTTTCATTAGTATCATATGTCTTACCAATATTTTGGGCCTCAATATGTAATAAAAATCATTATTTAGACTAATAGTACCCACTACAAAAATTTTCCAACACTTATTAAAACTACAATCAATTTGTATTTATTTCTCCCCAATTGTTAATCAAACATAAATGGCTGATAAAACTGCTAAAACTAAATTATTGAAACAATTCTCATCTTTATTGTTATTAAATTCATGGTTTTTGAGGTTTTGATATTTAAAACTGCCATCCTGATTATGCCAGGGCCCTATGAATTTAACAGACGTACTGAGAGAGTCTATCACACAGCCTCAACTGAAAACAAGACTAAAGACACTATTATTGCAGGAAAATCCTCTTGTAGTAAACATTTGTTGGCCTAAGGACTTGAACGAGAACAAAAGATGCAAAATCCTTCAAGAGTCAGATTCTACTAAAAAATAGATGATCCATAAGCAAATATCTAGACTCTCTGAGTGCCAGTGAATGACTGATGGTTGAAAGGAAAAAGGTGTTCTTTAAACCAGTAGATATTGCCAGTAATGTTCCCTGTAACTTCTCAAGCAAAGAGGCAGAAACAGTTGAAAGTCAGGCCAATATTGATGGAAAGGACAGAACTGAAGGAAGTATCACCTAGCAAATTCCAACTCTTCTAGAGATTTCTTAAGTTTGTGAGATCTGTGAATTTATACATTATACTTATCCATTAAGTAGTTCTTAACCAAGTGTTGTATCAGAATCTCCAAGAAATATTTCTAAATACACATGTCCAGGCATTATTAAGTATACTCAATCAAAATCTTTAAGGAAGAGTCTAAACTTGTAAACTTTTTAAAAGTTCATCAGGTGACTGATTCACCAGCAAGCTTCAAACTGAGAACTAGTGCAGTACACAGTCACTTTAGTCTCCTCTCACTTGTGTAGCCAAAGCCCTCTGTCATTTGAGGACTGGGCTAAATAAAAGTGTAAGAGATAAGAGTAACTTAACAGAACTGCATTTAATTACTTGGGTAGGGGTCAAAAAGGGACTAATAAACTCAAAATGCAACTTAATTTCATTATTTATAAATTACTTCCTATCAAGACTTAGATTTGAGAACAGAGTTCAGGCTCTTATCTAAGTGGCTGCTGCTGCCAGAATAGGATAATATCTCAGTTAATTACCTGTCTTTTCCTGTTGTTTCCCACTTAATGACCCCTGTTCACTGCCAATGTGGTTGACTCAGAGCCTCCTAATACTGATCTTGAGGCAAGCTGACAGCTCATTGACACTCTCTTGCAAACTAAAAATTACTGTCCCTGGAAAATGAAGAGCACTAATCTAAACATATAAACTGAAAAGACAGAACCAAAAACAAACAACCAATAATAAAAAACCCCTCTTCTGGTTATTTCCCCTCAATTGCCATATTTCCAAATTGACCTGCATATTTTCAATTGCTCTTTCCCTTTCCTTTTTCATTTCCCCTTATATGGTTTGGCCAATGAGAGATAAATCACTTTTATATAAATCACTTTTTAATAATATAGAAACTTGTGCACAGCAGCAAGATTGCTAACATATTGTAAAATGCTTTGTTTTGTTTAAGTTTTAAAATAAAGCTTATTTCTATGGCATATTTTGCTTTCCTATGTTGTTTTACATTAATTAGAAAAACTCAGGTGAAAAAAATATTTTCAAAAATTTTGCTTCTTATAGTGTTTTCACAAATATATGTCATGAGGGCATAAAAGAGAGCTGTATCTTCTACTGCTCCTTCAGAAGTATCATTATATAAAGTGAAATCTTAGACAATTAAGTTATTTCAAAATATTTTCATTCAGAGAATGCTTGAGTTTCCAAATATGAAAAATCAACCCTGCCTGTGTCAACTGAAGCTGTTTCTGTCAGGGTTGCAGTGGCAAGAGGTAATATATGTCCAGGAGAAAAAGCAAGTGAACTGCTTTGCCATCACCTGCACCCTACATGCAACCACGACCCCACTGAGGAGCTGCACGAGGCTGAGAAGGAGCTACGCTCTGAAGTGGAAAACCCCAAGGTGGTATGTGGCTGGCAGAGGGACTATGAGCACAAGCGGATGACCCTGCTAATGTCAAGACATGACCTGACTCTCCTGCCACCACCTTCAGAACTTTGGGGTCCTGAAGTGCTCAGGGCCTGTGGACTTCTGCTTCCCTTTCCCATCTGTACTCACCCAGCTCCCCCTGCTGGGTACTGGGCCTCCTCCTCCCACCCATCCCCAGCAGCACCCTGTTTCCTAAGCCCCTGCCTGCAGAGTAGCCAGTCGCTACCATCACGTCACCCCCCAAGGGCCTTCAGTCCTTGGTGGGCTCTGAGCCTGTCACCCACTCCCAGGCACTAACAGGAAGCTTTTCCTTCTGGGGTAAAATGTAGCTGGAAATAGAGCTTTGCCCTTTCTACGGACACTACTTTTCTCCATCCCTTCACCTGGTTTTGGAGTTGCTTTCGTGGTGACAGGGCCTGATATACTGTATTCAGTATACGTATGTCAGAAAGAAAATGGTGGTTAAGATAAAAACATGTATTTAAAATATTTTGTAAGTAAAGTTAGTTGATTTATACCTTGTTTCTCGCTTCAATATTTGCCTTGTGTGAAAGCAGCTTTGCTACTATAGCTGTATTCTGACCAAGGGCAGCGTAGTGGAGAGCCGTGTTCCCATCGACGTCCATTATATTTGGGTCAGCACCACGGTCTAGCAGAATAGTTGCACATTCCTCTTCCTGGGATTGTACAGCCTGTCAGTATTATGCCGAGAAAGAGACTGTAAATTCTAGGAATTCAAAGTAAACATTCACCAATAACTTAATACTTAAATGAGATAAAGTCATTTTTATTCTAGTAGTTAAATCAAATCCATCTCATGCTGACATAGTTGGCCACTACATACCTTCATCAAAGCTGTCTTGTTTTCATTGTCACCAAGGTTCAACAGGCATTTTCTGTCTGCTAGGAGAGTGACCACTCCTGCATGGCCATTGGCACAGGCCAAATGTAGAGCAGTCCTACGAAAGTGAGAGAAGTTTTTAGGAACCTAGAATGCATTATCTCAAAACATACAATCATTCATGTAATTGTAAAATTTAAGTGTTATCCCCATACCTTCAAAATAAATATTTAGTTTTCTTCTGGAGACAGGAAAACATTTATTAGGTCTTCTTACTCATCACAATAAGGAAGGAGAGTCCTACTTGAATGGAGATAAGGGAATTCAGCTCAACTTTTGTCTACTCTTATTTTAACTCTGTTGTGCATTAGCTATCACTTAGCCTGTCTGTGCCTCAATTTCCTCATCAACTAAATGGGGATAAAAATAATTATATCACAGACCACTGTTTGCCTAAATGAAAAGCTATGCAGTGTTTACTGCAGTACCTAGCACAAAAAAATCTCAGTAACTGTTAGATTATATTATTATTGTTACTATTACTACAACTTTACAAAGACATTTAACTAAGTAAAATGATAACATTATATCTATTTTGCAGATGTGTTTTAAGAATTAGATGGTACACTGTATTTCAATGATTCTAAAATGCTTATTTTCTCACATTTTAACATTTCTGACATTGGAAGTAATTTATAAATCAGAATGTCTTACAAATATAATGGCAGCATATAAATAAATTCCTATTGATATATAAAATATTAGGCATCATACCATCCATTGTGCCTTACATTAAGTGAAATAATGGTAAATACAACAGATCTTTTGCATTTCTAGTCATATGGTTGGCACATAAATCACTTTTAGTTCTTAAAAGCATTATGGGGAGAGACAAAACAAGAAAAGAAATTTAAAAAAAACAAGTTTTACTTTGATTTTCAAGAAACTTGAAACTCAGGATTCAAGTGAATAGGATGGCTCATTTTATTCAGTACTTAGTCTTATAGATGTATGGAAATTAGATATTTCCAATGATCATTATTAGTATTTAATACTATTACACATTTCAAAAGGGGAGGTACTGTTTACCTTTTACAATTTCCTATCTTCAGAAATACTTTTGTTTGAAAGAAGGGAGAGAAAGCTTCAACTACAGTCCAAATACTTCAATTTTAAATTTCTCATTTTGCTAATACTGAGCAACATAAAGTTTTTAAGATGAAAAGGGCCAGAGTATAGACTGGAAGGGTGCTGAGTAGAGCATATCCACTACACAGGTATTCAGGTTATATTTCATGAATAAATAAATTGAAAGAATGGGTAAACATAGTTGGAGAGTTCAATATTTTTAAACAAAAGTTTTATAAAGCCATATTTTCCCAATAATTGCTTATATTTGCTATTTTTGGTTTTTTATTTTCATAAGAACACAACTAAAATGATTAATCTATAATCATTTACATATTATACATAATAAAGCTATATAAAATAAAAACATGCATATAATTTAATATATATATATAAACTCTACAGGCACAGATAAAAGAGTCTCTTTACTTCTGAAGATGCTAAAAGTTGTCAAAATAAACCAATCCTCATAAACATTTAAAGAAATAGGAAGTGAGAAATTATTTTTACCTGTGCAAGATTCATACTCCTGCTCCTCCCCAGGATTATTTCATTCATAATAAACTTTACAAGAATTTCTAAACATGTTCATTGCAAAAATCAGCAAAAAAATCTGCAAAATGTGATAAAATTTTGCAGATATATTTTGCTAACAGAAGAGCATAGTCTGTGTGTATGTACAATCAAACTGATTTTTGTCTCCCTTTCTGATCTACCAAAGTACATCTTTGCATGTTAACATATCTATTATCTAAACCACCTTCAACAGTAGCATATTATTCCATCCTATGGATGTACTGCAAAATCCATTTACATGAGTTCTTAAAACACGGCTATTTTAAGCAGTGCTGAGAAAAACAAACTGTACATAATTTATCTAATTATTTTATGAAGATATTTTAGTATAAATAGAATTAATGGGTAAAAAAATATATACATTTAAATGTGGTACTTACAAACAAATTGTCTATTTGAAAAGTCAAAAGCAACTTAAACTTTAAGCCGCAGTAGAAGGACCATTGCTGGTCATCTTCACAAACTTTGTGGATAGAAAATGGCATTTCACTACTCTTTTAACATAAATTCCTCCTCTTACCAGTAACACTATTTTTTTTTCTTATGTCCATTGGTCACTTGTAGATGTGCTAAAAGTACTTTGTCCAGTTTCAAATTAGAGTTCTTTTTCTTGCTGATTTCAAAGTCTTCTATGATAAACAAAGATATAACTTTTTTTCTGATATGCATATGCTGTAAATATTTTGCAAGTATTTTATTTTGTTAATATTACTTTCTGAAAAACAAAGTTTTAATTTTTTTATATTGCTCAATCAACCTCCAAAAATCTTGCTTTTGAAGTCTTTGTCAACTTAAAAAATATAAATAGGTATTTGTGTTTTCGTCTAGTAATTTTCACATTTTGTGTATTTGAAATTTTTAATCTACATTCCATCTGGAACTTATTTTTTTGTGAGATTAACATCTAGCTAGTTTTCTCCAATACTTAACAGTTATTCCTCCATTTATGAATAATTCATATTTTTCTATGAACATAAAAGGTCACCAGTCAAATTCTAAAGTCTTACATCTATTTGGGTTTTTGAGCATTTCTATTCTGTTCCAATCCTTTCTCTGTTTTTTCAGCTATTAGTAAGTAACTTGTGGAAATTGATAGCGTATGTTGATATCTAGAACGGCAAATCGTTAATTACCATACAATAATTTTCTTAATCTCATCACAAAATACAGACAGACAGCATGTGTAATTCAAAAACTTTTAAACCATATTTTTATTTAGTTTATGTAAAATTGATAATTATAGGAAGAGCACGCATTTCGAGAAAACGATTCTTCCTATTTAAGACCACAGCCGTCTTCCAACTTCAAAATCCCCTCCTGTGGTCCCTCAATAAATGGCAAATATATATCCGTGTACACGGATATAAAATGGATATTGGATTTTACCCAAAGAATTTTTAGCCCAGAAGTTTATCTATTATGGAAATTATTTCTCTTACTATGTACTTTTCTGTAGTATACAGCATTACGGCATAAAAATGTGAACATCAAATACAAAACGCTGTATATACTTAAAGTGTCTTTCGGGAGGAATGATGAGTGGGTCCTGAAGTTTTTGTTTTTCCTGCTCCTAAAGTCGACCTGAGCGCTAGACCACACGTATGGTCACCACCACCGAGGTGCTGCGGCGGGAAGGCAGCCCAGCGCCCTCCGCGCTCCGTGACAGGAGGGCTGCGCTCCACCTGGCTGAGCCCGGGCAGGTGAGCGCTTCTCCCAGGTCCACCCACCTACTCCTGGTCGACCCCACGCTGCAGGCCCCGCAGTCTCTATTACCTGTTCATCTTGTCTGTGTCATCCACGCCATTTATCCGGAGCAATAGAATCTGCTTCACTTTTGCCACGTTGCCTACCTTGGCAGCTTTGTGGATCATTCCCAGATCTTTGTCTTGGATGAGGTACCCGTGCTGCGAGGTGACTCGATTATTACTCTTTCGCTTATCTCCCACGCTGTTGCTCCCTGGGCCGTTGGACAAGCCCAAGGGCGACACGCCCTTCCTGCCCCCAAAGCCAAAAATCTTCTTCATCGCAGATAGCGATGAAGGGCTTCAGAGAAGCCTCATCTTTCCCTCAGCTTTCTACCGCCTCCGGAGCCCGACATTATAGCTCCTGATAAGCCAACTGCCTCCCGCGACAACTCACCAACTGCGCAGAACAGCAGTTTAGAACCTCTCACGCCCGATTTATTGTAACCAAGCAACTCCCCTCCCCGCCTAACCTCCGGCAAACTCAACTGCGCGTGCGCCCCTCAGAGCCGACGTCACTGAGCGTGCGTACAAAACCCCTGCAGCCAAAGATACTCAGAGCGCATGTGCAAGGTCCAGACTTTAAAATCTCAGCGGTTGCTTGCGGGTAGTGTGGGTTCCGTTCAAATGTCAGTGGGAGTCGGCAGTGTTTCTATAAATCTATGAGAGTTAGACTCACTCCAGTGGAAAAGTTGTCTTTGCCTACGTCTGGGGCTAGAGTGGGGTGGAACTTTTGGGTGCTGAAGGCCTCCATCTAGAAAACTCCCCTAAAAAAAAAATCTATATGTCTTTTTGTCCCACAGTTTATTCCTCCCTCACATCCCTCTGGGCCCCAGCCAGTCTCCGAGGAATTTGGCGACTACAACAGGAAGATGTTTTCATGGTTTCAGAGATTATGTCCATATGTGTATACAAGTGCAAATTTTACGAGAAACAAATGCACCTTCCTCAAATGAAATGAAAGTGCATTTCTGCATGCCTCTTAATTCTCTTCCTTGGTCCAGCTTTACATTTACGGTTTTCTTTACTTTTATGTACCCCAATTAAGTCTAAGTAATCCAAGTTATTTTGGAGTGTGGTGTAATATTCAAGAACTATTTATAAATCAGCTATTCACATGTGGCAAACCAAATTTCCTCACCTGGTTTAAAATACTAGTTTATTTTGCATTAAATTCTCCACACTTATTTTTCTGTTCCTGGGTTTTCTGCTCCATTCCATTCAAATATCTACTCCTTGCAAAAGTACTCCAGTATTTTAACTTTATAAGATATATTTTAATATCCATTAGAGACCAAAGTTTCCCCTCATTCTTTTCAGTATTCTCTTGGAAATGTCTATTTACCTCAAAATTATTTGAGATGAATCTTAGTGACATTTTTATTTTAATTAGGTTGATAATTAATTTTAGTTGAAAATCAGTCTCTTGAATAAGTGTATCCAAATACATGCTATGTGTCTAAATTTATTTAATTCTTATTTTAGATCCCTAATTACCTTTTGGCAGCATTTTCCTTATGTAATCCTTCCCACTTCTTTATATATTTCTATCTGGGGATTTTTTCATTTTCTATTGTGATGGTACTTTCTTTACATTACAATTTGTGATTTGTGATTTGTGAAAGTGATTATTGTTTCTATAGGTTTATATTTATTTGACAGAGTGAAGAACTTATTTAAGCTATAATTTTATAACAGAAGTTGACATTTTTGGTAGGTTTTTAGGAAAGGCAAACTGTATAAAAAAATTTCGCTAGAAGGATGTAATATTAAAGAATGGTATGATGCAGATAAAATAGTGGTTTGTAACCACTATTTTTGATCCATGGAATATAATTAGAAAGAAACATTGTCTTCTACTACCTTTTCAAATATTCAGATATTGTTCTCCCAACCCAGGTTGAAAAACCTTACTGTCTAGTAATAAAAACTACATAGAGTTGCTTTAACTCAAAAAGTACTGAAACGGAATTGCCAGCCCCACATAACTATAAAAATGCCCAAAGTCAGAGTTAATCTTCTAGGCCAGACTGCGTGACCACTTGCATTAGGGGTTAAAGGAAGGCCCAGTACTTTTCCTCTTTCCTGCCTAATTCCATCCCCCCTCCCTCAGTTTATCCTACCAAGATCAAACTTGTAGTATGTAATTGATTTCTTCCCTGGCTGACACTCTAAAATCAATCTGAGCAGTCTGGATCTGACAATTATTTTAAAGCCAGCTCTTTTCCTCAGGTGCACTTCTGTATTTGCAGCTGTTCTCACCTGCAACTCCCTTGACCTTAATGAATGTGAAATCCATTCTGTTGGCCTTTATTTCTTCTTAGCTCTTAGGAAATACACATATCCACTTTGGATCGTTCTCTTAAGAGGCCTCCTTAAACTTCTAACCAGCTTTTCTGTACAGTATCTGAAATGGCTTCCCCATAATGGCTCCCTCTCTTTTATGCTTGACAAACATCTGTTCCTTCATAAATACTCGAACAGTTTTTGTCAACATAAATGTTGAGAGTGTAGAAAAGTCTAGACTCATTAGCAATTACTCTCCCTTCATCAGGCAAAGCAGTTTACCAGTTGTTTCAGGTTTCAGGTTACCTGTGTGATTCAAACACCTGTTTCCAGAACTGCAGATGCATATCAAATTTGTCAAGCTAGATTTTGGGAAATAAGCACCGTCTCCTTTTTTACCCATGGCATATTTTTATATATTTTTTTCCTAAAATGCATTTTAAAATTTATACAAATTTTGAACAGATGCATTACCATTATATTACCATATGATGCAAGACTGAAAACAATATAGCATATGTATAAAAATTGTTTCTGTTGTAAATGGAGTGGGTGTTTACATTTTTGCCTAGCAAAATGGGGGTTCATCTATGACAGAATTGGGTGAGGTAAACATTTACACAGAAATAAAATCTTTAGTTTCAATGTATTAACCCTCCACTTTTTTTTATGTTTATGACTAGGCATTATTTCTTCAGTCCAAAGATGATGTCTATATTTCTATACATTTTATTATATATTACATACTTATTAAAAAATATGTGCTGGGGGGCCTGGTGAGTGGCTGGGACTCCTTACTCCAGAGATATCCCTCCCGAATTTTTATCTACCACATGTGGGTGAGAGACCAGCTCATTCCGTTTCTGTGCCCCTCCTACCAGTCTCAATGGATGTGCTTTCTTTAATTCTGTAGTTGTCAGGCTTCCATTCAACTTGATTTCTGATGTTTTCGAGTCATGGTTGTTCTATATCTTACTTGTAATTTTGATATGGTTGTGCTAAGAGGCAAGCCATGTCTGCCTATGCTTCCATCTTGACTGGAAGCAGAAGAAACTTTGCAGGCAAGATATAGTCGAAGTGATGAAAAGCAATGACTCCTAGATTACTCTATCCAGCAAAACCATAATTTAGAATCGCAGGGCAGATAAAATGCTTCCTAGACAAGGTAAAGCTAAAGGAATTCATCATCCCCAAGCCATTATTACATGAAATGTTAAAGGGACTTATTTAAGAAAAAGAAGATCAAAACTATGAATATTAAAGTGATAATAAACTCACAGCTATCAACAACTGAATCTAAAAAATAAAAACAAAAACAAACTATGCAAACAACTAGAACAGGAACAGAATCATAGGTATGGGGATCATTTGGAGGGTTATCAGGTGGGAGGGGAAGGGAGAGAAAGGGGGAAATGGTGTGGAGATCAAGAAATCAAGAAGCATAATTGGTAGGAATAACCAGACAGGGTGATGTTGAGAATAGTATAGGAAAGGGAGAAGCCAGAGAACTCACTTACATGCATGACCCATGGACATGAACTAAAGAGGGGAATTGCTAGAGGGAAGGTAGTTACCAGGTGGAGGGGGGCAAAGGGAAAAAACTGGGACAACTGTAACAGTACAATCAATAAAATGTGCTTAAAAAAAGAAATTTGCACGTAATTAGCTGGACTGAATTAACTCAGTATTTACTTAAAAAAAGTTTTTATAATATATTTTATTTAACCCAGTATATCCAAAATACTATCATTTCAACATTGAATCAATATTTAAAAATTATTAAGGGGATATTTTACATTTATTTGTACTGAGTTTTTAAAACCCAGGATGTATTTTACACTTACAGCACATCTGGATTCAACCTGGTTACATCTTGTGTGCTCAGTAGCCACATGTGGCCAGATGCCACCATATTGGTCATCACTGATCTAAATCCTGAATGAAGATATTAAGTGAAATCAGACTTTTAGCTCAGCCCTCTGTTAAGGTCGTTCCTTCCTTATACTTTCACTGCCGCTGCCCGCCCCCCACCCCGCCCCACTGCTGCCACCCCTCCAATTTAGACATGTAGTTCTATCTCAGGCTAGTTTTTCCAACTAAGTAGGAACCATGTCCTCGACATTTCTGCAATCTCCCTCCCATCTGCCACTCTCCTTTATTTCCCCTTCATTTCATAAATAGGAAAACTGGTTCCCAGGAAGGCTGGCAATTGACCTGAAGTCACACAGTAGTTAGAATCTAAATTTTACTCTTACAGATGACTAGACCAGAGTTCCTCTGACGTCCTTAAGCACTCAACCATTTCCCTTCCCCCTATGTCTGCCTTGGGGCTTAGTTACTTGCCCTCTTCATTCTTTCAAGTGATTTTATTGGGGGTTACATTGGTTAATGAAATTATAGATTTAAGTTGTATAACTCTATAAACAACATCTGTGTGTTGTATTGTGTGTTCACCACCCCATGTCTTGCCTCTTTCCATCACCATTTATCCTCACTTTACTCTCTTCTGGTCCCCCCCGCCCCCATTATAGCCCCCTGATAATAACCATACTGATGTCTATGAGGTTTTATTTTTGGCTTCATCCTTTCACCTTTTCCACCCAGGCCCCCACCTCCACCCTTCTGACAGGTACAAGTCTGTTTCTGTTTTGTTTGTTAGTTTTCTTTTGTTCATTAGATTCCACATATAAGAGAAGTCATATAGTATTTATCTTTCCTTGAATGGCTTATTTCACTTAGCATAATCTTCAGATCCATCCATGCTATTGCAAAAGATAAGATTTCCTTCTTTTTGATGGCTGAGTAGTATTATATTGTGTAAATGTACCACAGCTTTTTTATCTACTCAGCTATTGATGGGTACTTGAGCTGCTCCAAATTTTAGTTATTGTGAATAATGCTTCAATGAACAAAGAGGTGTATATATTCTTTCAAATTCATGTTTTGGATTTCTTCAGATAAATTCCCAGTAGGGAAATCTCTAGGTCATAAGGTAGTTCCATTTTTAATTTTTTGAGGTTACTCCATAATGTTTTCTACAGTGGCTGCACCAATCTGCATTTCCACCAATAGTGCACGAGAGTTCCCTGGTCTCTGTATCCTCCCCAACACTTTCTGTTTGTTGATTTATTGATAATAGCCATTTTGATAGGTGTGAGGTGATACCTTACAGTGATTTTAATTTGTACTTCTCTGATGTTTAGTGACATTAGCA